ACACAGATGTGAATTATAACTCTCTGAAATCCTGGGACTGCTCCAAATCAGGGCATTAGAGGTAGGTTTGAACTGTAACTACACATTCAGATCTAAAATTTTTGTTCAAACCTGTCTTTCCATAACATTTTTTACAGCAACTACTGAATATATTAAAACCAACAGTGTTCCATAAGCTTAAGAAAAAATACCAGTTAACCCCATCTTAGCTGTATTCAGACATGATTCTCAATGGCTGGTTAAAAAACATTTCTATAGAAAGGCAGTAACAAAAATAATCAGTTGAATGTAGTGAGACAGTTTAAATAGGTCAAATTCAAGCTGGATTACAGCTCCCTTGGCCAAATACAGATTTACAGTGATCACTTTGGCCCAGTATTTAACATTAGAAACATAAATAATTTAAGGATTTTCTTTTCCAAGTTTGGGACAGAACTTTGAAACATCTGGTCTCTTTTCAGTACCTTTTACACACACTGGCCAAAGTCAACATTTTTGACTGGATCAATAGTGTTGGGTGGGACTGAGGTGGGCCATTTCACAAGCATGCAAGTGATAGAAAATGTCCCCCATAACACTGGATAATGCACCGAAGGAGCAATGACACCTGCCATTTTTCAGTGCTCTCAACAGCAGGAAACTGAGGGTCCCAAATCTACGCAAATACTCAGTTCATTGATGCTTTTATCTGTAAATCAATTATGCATGTTTCTCTTTTTTTTGAAGTCAAACATATTTGCAAGTGAGTCACAATGATTCCTCTCGTGTAAAAGATGTAGAAGGTGTGGCCCAAACCAGTCTGGCCTTGGCCACCAGTTACTGTATAATAAGAGAATCAGTAACAGAAATCGGGTCTGCTGAATCAGGTCTACTACTGTATCTGCACAGCACCACTCTCTCCATTGCTGATCCCAATGTCTGATGATTAAAAACTAGATTTCCACACCTTGAAGGAGACAAATGAACCCACAGCTCATCATCTAAGACCATTCCCCGTTAATAGTACTTAAGAAACAGCCAATCAAAAGGGATCATGAGGAGTACAGACACAATGGCAGTACAGACAAAAATGAAAAAGCATTTTGCCCTTTTTAAATGGCCTGGTAATGACCACCACCATTCTTGCAAACTGTTGTAAGTGTGCATCTTAATAACATAATGCAGCACTAGGTATTTTCAGGAATTTGTCTCACAGTCTAACATTTTGTGTCATGCAGTAGCAGGAGAGATGTCAAAACAAAATGTATAAAGCCCCTTTTGAAGTGCATAATCACAGTTTGTGTTGATATCAAAAGTATTTGAATGAGCAACTTCAGAACTGCACTCTCAAAGATTATTAAATGTTTTAATAAATATGCCATATCTGATGGGAGAAAAGTGAAGTACACAGTACATAATATAAGTACTTACAAATCTAAAAGATGGCTTAAAAAAATTCCAAAATAGTCCTCATATGTTGCATTATTTGGGAGTAAACCACAAAAGCAAGGCTGAATGAGTATGATTGGGTTGTGTATTTTGAATGACACTAAAGCATTTTAAGTAATCGAAGTGTTATTCAATCGGAACTACCAGCATCAGATAAGTAAAATCTACACATTATTTAACTGCCTCAAAATGCCTTAAAGGCAAGAATACAGCAAAACAGAAACTGCCTGCCACATTTCAGCTTTTGGTTGCGTGTACTGTACTGACCACAGCAATAGAAAGTTGCCTTCCACATGCTTTTTAGACTGACATACATCAGTGCATTTATGGCATTTCATGAATCTTCTTTGCCTTTCACATTAATGAGTGGTAGGCCACACAGTACCACATGTGCTGTGCTCATTACAAGATGCTGTGTTCCACCCTCCTCAGATGTACTGAGCATTAAAGTTTGCTGCATTTGTGAAATTTGGGAAAACATAAAAAACAGAGACAAGTGTTTAATGTTTTACTCTCTTGTGGCTTCCAACCAGGGTATCTTCCTCAGGTAATGTCAGATGAGCAAACAACCCAAACATGGCATGCATGAACTCTGAACTGTGGGGAAGCAGGAACTGAACCAGTGATCTCCCTTGCTCCTTCTGTGAGAATATATGAGCAGGGCAGCTATGTCCATAAAATAAAGTGTCTTCCTTCCCTGCCAGCCTCTCTGAAGCAACACCCAACAGAAATCCCTTACAAGTTTTGGTCATTGTGACAAGAGCAAAAGACAGTTGACGTTAGTTGCCACTCCTCATTGAGGGAGAAAGCACTCTTGAACGGTCCTTAGCAGCATGATCTAAGAGCTCCAAGTGAAGAACCTTTACTTCTGACAAAGGAGACAGGGCTGCATGGCTTGTTCTTCTTGTCCAAGAGGTTGGAACAAGCAGCAGAACACAGTCCCATCCCTAACTCAGGGCTAGTCCTCAGCAACTCAGCAACCTGCCTTTCTTTTATATGCAGGAAAAAGTGGAGCCAACAACTTTGTGGCTGGCGACTGGTGCTTAAAGTGGTATGAAAAATGTGGAGAGGTCTATCATCATCCCGCCCCTTGCCTAGCAGTTAATTCTGCCCTTGCCCTCTTTTAATTAATCCCCAATTAATCCGTTGTCCTCAGTCCCAACATCAACTGTGCCCCAAGTCTTTTTAAAACTTTTTAAAAATAGAGAGAGCTACACAAGAGCTATGAGCTCCTGCAACTCTCTGGTGAGTAATGCCTTGGGTGGAATGACATTTTAGAAAAGTTCTCAATCCCATCTGTGTCCTGATAGATTTTAAGCCTTTCTTGTGGATCAAAACTCAGAAATGAGGCAGAAGGTGTACTTTGGACCAGGAATCAGACTGAACTGGGAGCAAACCACAACAGTGTTTGACTTTATAATAACTCACAGACCTCAGGAGTTATCCTTGATGAACAGAAGTTGCATGAATTGCACAGTGAGAGCGTAGTGTGCCAAGACACACTGCTTCAGGGTTGTCGGTTCAATACAGTGTTTTACTTATTCATTAGATCAAGTACTGAAGAACTGGGTTTGATTATAGGATCTTTAAGACTGAGACTACCTAGTAGTGTGTGCCTTGCATACGTCAGTGGAATCTTACTCTGAGCCTCAAGGTGTCAGTATCACAGTCAGATTGGTATGGAACACATTGGAAGATGTTTATTTTCTACACTTGATAATTATCCCATGGTTCTTAATAATATTCCAAGTCATCATCTTTGCTCTGGAAATGTAAGAACAAACCTTGCATGAACGTTATATTTATGTCTCCTGGCCACCTCCATTGAATGTCTCTGCATTCCCTTCCTCAGAGAGATTTAAAGTGCCTGAAAAGGTAACAGAATGTCATTGCTGTGTTGTAGCCAGTTGAAATAATCAGAACAGTTCTTCAATAAATGCATCAAAAAGAGAGAGACAAGGTGTGGTGGGACGTGCCCTCACCAGCAGCCAGTCTCCTACCCAGCTGCTCATTCACTCATTTCCACCCTCCACCACCACACAACCAGACAAAGGAGAAAAACAGGAAAAACAGAAAAGAGAAAGGTTTTGGGTCAAGATGAAGACAGGAAGATAGATTACCAATTACTGTTACAGGCAAACCAAAATCTTAAACTGGGGAAATTAATGTATTGCCAATTAGAATAAATCATTTCTGATTCAGGTGGGGGGGAAAGAAGAAACTAGCATTTACACACTTAGAGAAAACACTTTGTCTCCACCTTTCCCAGGTTCAAGCTCACTCCAAGCACTTCTCCCCTCCTTGGTATCACCACAGGTTGCCCTCAGTCCCTTTGGTGAGACACTGTGAAGCTCCTTCTCACTCTTTTCATCTGCTGCAGCATGGGTCCTCCACAGACTGAGGGAATATCTGCTCCAACACAGAGTACCTTCTCCTCCTCAACCTCCTCCCCAACCTTCTCCTCTTCCACCTCCTCCTCTGGCCTTGGTATTCCCTCTGTTGTTTATCACTCTTTTTATTGCATCCTCCCCTCTCTGGATTTCTTTGCTCTTTCTAAAATGTATTTCCCCAAGCTGCCACCATCTTGGCTGAGGGGAGCAGCCATATTCTATGATAAGTCCACTGGGGCCAACTGGAACTGGCTGTGCCTGAAACAGGGCAGCCCTGGCCTCTGCTCACAGCCCTCCTCCTGCCAGCACTTTGCCATTTATCCCCAAGAGAAAAGGTGTGACCTTCTCTGTAACAAACTGGAGGGAAGCTGCCCCTCAAGAGCAACAGTGGTCTCGTGTAGCGCAGCTGAGGCAAATGCCCAAAGGGTCATGATGGAAGAAGAGGAAACCACTCAAAGGCAGTAGGAACACTTGAGCTATTATGAGGGACTGAGCAGGGCAGGCAAATTTCCAGCAGCATTAGAGAACGGGCTACAACTGAAGCTGGTGGGGGAGACCTCTCAAATCACTCAGGACCTTGAATTTCTCATTGCATTAGACTGTACCACAGCCTGATGCCTGGCAAGAATGCAGCTCTCAGGTCTGGAACAACAGGATATCTGGGCTGGTCTGCAGCAAGGACTGAAGCTGCCTTGTGGGCCCTCTGGTCACAGGGCCCACCTGGAGGTTTCTCATCCACAGAGCAGGAGCAAAGCCCCTGTGCCAGGACTCCCCACAATGACATGGGGGGCAGAACAGTGGTACAGAAGGTAGAGATATACAAAATATAATTACACTTGTGAAGCTGGATTACTTTAACTGCAACCAGAGGACATGATAAGAGGGAAGAAAGAGAATGTGAGGGAAGACCAAGGAATGCTGCAGTTTTCTCTGAAGTCACATACAGAAAATGCTGCCACAGGAAGATTATGTTCAGACATTTGGAAATTCAGGAGGACTAGTGAAGGCAGGACACCAATTTGCCTAAAATAGCAGTGCTTAGTACATAATTAGAAGAGAAAGGAGGAGCAGAGAAGGAAGGGAAGCAATAGTCCAAGTTCTATTAATTTTCTTAAGTCGACATAATTTCAGCATAGGCTTAAAAAACAAAACAAAACAAAACCTCCAGGATATTATTCCTTCTAGGAATTCAAGCTTTGAAGCAAAATATGTTTTTCTGTCTTTATCAGATCTCTTTGCTGTCCTACTTCTTTCTCTTATTCTAATATTTAATTGGCTTTGGTAGAGATGATCTATTGCTAGTTCTGTGTCAGATTCTTGCCAGTAACTCCATGGGGTCTGAGATTTCTCTAGTCATCTCATGCTCCTAGTTAAAATACCTGAACTGGAAAGCTTAGATAGCCTCATTTTAGATACTACCATTTTGCAAAAAAATTCCATCAGGTCAACGTCAGGTCCGCTAACCATGGCTGAAATGAAAAATAATCTTGTCTTCACATTGAGGCTGTAGAGCTTCACTTAAACATGACTTGGGGTGAAATAACTTGCTACTAATGAGCATCAGCACTGACAGCAGGAAAACTAGCTTTTAAGAATCCACATTTCAAAGTACACTTGTTGGCAGTCTGGTGCTCACTTCCTGTGTCTTGGGAACATTTGAGAGTTTACGCTTTGTAGAAATGGTGGCTTTCATAGAACTTTCAGGCTTCAGGGAGGACACAGACAAGGAATCTGCACATGGAAAAAAATAATTAAAATTATGTGAAACTGAAGGAGTTTAATATTACATAGTCCTATTGCTAGCCCTACTGATAAATGCAGGAATTTAATAATCAAACAGGTCATAATATCCTTGGGGAAGACCTAAGAGGATGTTCATGGCAGAAACCAGGATGAAGCAATGCCTCTCACATCCCCTAAAAACATGCTGACAAACTGGTAGAAAGAACTTTCAGTATCTGCTTGTATGTAAGTTGATGAAGCACAAAAAGCCAGGGAGGTGAAATGTGTGTGTGATTGCCACGTCACTCTGCAAAATGAAGGATGGCTGAATCCCCCTCTTCAGTAGGACCTCTGCAGTAAAGGCAATGCTTATACCTTGCAACTTTTACTGTCCCTTTCTTAGAAAACTTATCACTTACAAGTATGGTGCAGAGAGAAACTCCCCTGTGGACAGCAAAAGAGAGGCAGAGGTTTACGTACGAACTCAAAAGAAGAGTAAGCAAAGTCCTTATACCGAGAGAATTTCACCTAAGCTATAAGCTTGTCCTAATAAACTACGTTAATAACCTGAAAGGAATGATGATGAGGTTTCCTCCAGATCTTCTTCCCTTTTAATGAGTATTCTCTCCTGCTCCAAGGCTTCTATGTACTTGGAATAGGACCAGGAAGCCTGCAAGAACCATTAAACACCATCAGCCTTCAGAACAAGTCACTGTAGTTCCTGGCCCATATCAACAGTGAGATAAAAAACTTGTTTATGTTAAAACCCTGTTATTGGATAACCACAATTATTAAGAAGATTCTTTTCATTACAATATTGGAATCATATGAAAAATAGTATTGCTGCAAATAAGCAAATCTCAAAACACCATGATTTAAGCAAGTTTGACAGATGCAATGTTTACATTTATTCTCCATCCCTGGTCTGTCTTATTTGCTCTCCTTTCATCTTCTAAACCTAAGTACAGCAGATCTTTCCCCTCCCAAAATATCTGTCATTTGTGCTATTGAGGACTTGATTTTATCTCCCTGTCACATCCTTCGAGCATGTCCTTTCTTAAATCATTGAAGCCTCACAGTTCTTTCTGCCTGCCTTCTCTAGCAGAATGCTACTACCACTAGAGGCTAATCAACTGGAGACATCATCCTTTCTTTTTCTAAGGATCAAATGTTGCTCTTTGCATTGCAACAACCACAGTTCAGGTTACATGTAAATATTAAGTCACTTTCCCAAAACAGCTGGGAACTGCATTTTTATTCAGGCCAATTTTTTTCCTTACACCATGAGAAGTTTAGGGCCAATTTGTCATATCACAACTCAGTAGAACTTCTAGCACTATCCTATAGCAGAAAGGGGCTTGGAGAAGAAAAATTAAACTGCCCTTTAAAAGATTATTGTTTGTTCTGTAGTTACTTGCCTCTTCTTGAGGGCTTAAGTCTATGCCATGGATATACTGGTGAGCTCAACTCAATTTAAAAACAAAAAAAAATTAAAAAAATAGGTATGAGCAAAAGTAAAAAGGTCCATTTAAGGGACAAGGGTGTAAGCTTAACTATGCAATTTGCTTCAGATTTTGGGGGTATTTCAGACTGCCCATTTCTATATTCTGCTCATCACTAATGTAATGCCACGAGAAGCAGTGGCTAAAGTGGGATTTACTCCTGCATCACATGGCATTATGTGGTTGCACAGATTCCCCATTATATTATGGCAGTGCCAACTCAGCCATGAATAATCCCTTCATATGCCCCAGGTAGCATGTCTGTTCTTCCCATTTCTCCAATCAAATGTCTGTTAACTTTTCACTATAGGTTAGATGCATAGTGAGAGTTGTTATGGAAGAAGTCCTAAAGTAGTATTTGCTGTCAGATTTTCAAATACCTAGATTTCCTGAAGGAGTTCTGCTTCAGTTTTTGACATATGAACAGAACAGAACTCTAGCCCAAACTGAATTCTTTCAGGACAGGAATTTCACAAGTAATGAAAAGCTTATTCCAGAACTGAACTATCTTTTCTTCAATTTATCTTTACAAACAGATTCTTTTTTAATCTATACACCGTAAGAGCTTAACATGCAGTCAGCCATTAATAGTACTCAGTACCTAAATCTTAAAAAAAATCAAGAAAGAAGGAAAAAATATCATCTGTCAGGTAGGTAAACTTACAACAGCAAAGCTAATTGTGGAAGAATGTACAGTTATTGAAGAACTATGTGACAACAGTATTCAAAACCTAACTCCCCCTTCTAGTTTTCCCAAAGTCATTTTATCTCTCTTGAATGATATCTGTAGAAACGTGTATTATTCACCTCCCATCCAAATCCATCTAAAGATGGGGCTGATCCTCTCTTCATGTCAGTCGTATCTACCAAAGCACCCTTTGGCAGTTGAGTCAAGGAACTCTTTGGCATTTGAGTCAAGGCACTCCTTGGCATTTGAGTCAAGTCACTCTTTTGCAGCTGAGTCAAGTCACTCTTTTGCAGCTGAGTCAAGGCACTCTTTTGCAGTTGAGTGAAGGCCCTCTTTGACAGTTGAGTCAAGTTGATGAGTTTTCTCCCCGCTTCTTTACCCTGCTAATAATAAAAACTCATAATTAGATGTGAACAATAATTACGGTGCTAAAGTTAAAAGCAAGGCCTGAGGAACCAAAAACTGTCATTGGAAACGAGGTAGGTTCACTTGCAGTAATGTTTTGTAATGCTCAGTTTCATAATACATCACGTTGGGCATATTAAAAAATAGCAGAAGATAATGCTTTTTAAAAGCATTTCTTTGTTCTAGTCAATGATTCCTGGCCTCTACAGTCCTGCAGACCATCTTCCTTTCAGATTCAATACCTGCTCAAAAATATAGCTAAGGGACAGGGCAGATCTGCAACAGAACATATTTTAAGGACAGAGAGGACATTGTGAGCCTTTAATTTGGCCTCATGTATAAATGTAGAATGTAGGATTTGTGGTGATTAATTCCAGCTTGGTCCAGTAGCTGCAAATGAACTACAGTATACAAGTTAGGAAAACAGGCAATCTGATTTAAAACATTTACAATGAAGAACAAGGCATCGTTGCACTTCGTAAAATGCTCTGGTGATTAACTATTCATCATTTTCACGTTGCTTTTGTGTTTTATGAAGGCTGCACCTTTGCACATTCTGTCTGATGATCCCAAAATTCTTTATAAACGTTAATCAGTGTTCATATTTGACCTCACACAGTTAACTCCACAACACCTCCAAGAGCTGAGTAATATAAGCCTCCCATGTTAAATGAGAAAGTAAGGGGGAGGGGGGGGGAAGGAGGTCAAATTGTTCCCAGAGTCACTTAGCAAGTCCCTGAAAGATCTGGAAAAGGATCAACTATCCTGTTTCCTTGCTCATAAAGTGCCTTTTCCTTCCTCATCATCCCCATTGTCCTATGAACCCATCAGCTCTAAGAGTGACTTTTGGATACAGAACTGGCCAGGCAGTGTGATGTTCACCTTCTCTCCAGGAACAGGCTCAGTAATTCTGTGGCACACTCAGTTGATGAAACAGGGATGCCAAAGCAAATACAGAGGTAGCATGTACACTAATGCACTACAGTTTATGTTTGTTGGCTTTCTCAATGAAAATGGTGAATTAAGTGAGGTCTTTAATAATGTCTTCTCATAATAAATTAGGCAATGTTATGGCAATGTCATATCCCATGACATTACACCACTAACTAACAAATAAGCTTATTGCTAAGAAGCGTAAAGAGAGATGACAGAAACATGGAAAAGGAAAATAATGTTTATGGCTTTCTTTGCTAAGGGTATGGAAAGACTAAATACAGATTTATAATGTAAGGTAAAACTGCTTTGTGCACTTGAAAGCAAAAAAATCCAAAATCTACTTTGGAGGTAAAATGCAATTCTGTATATAACAAATTGCTAGCACTGGCATCAAGGCAGTCTGCAAAAAGTGATGAATATATATTTTAAAGTGTGTAGCATGTGCCTCTAGCAGTTAACAAAGGAACAAGTCCATTGCCAGGAAGCCTTCGATAGAATTTGCCCCCTAAATAACAAATAGGCACACAGAAAAAATATTGAGATAGTCAAATAATACCAAGTTATGCATAATTGTTCACTGAAAAGCTCCTTTTCTGACCATTTTTTCCATTATACTACATAAAAGTCCAACTTACCTGTTCAGCTCTAAAACTGAGGTGAGCCCAAGTAGACTGAGCACCCCAGGGACACATTTGTGAGGAAAAAGAAAGCAAATTCCTCCCCCAGGACTATGATTGTTCATTTTTGACATAAACCCAAAATAGCAACTGATTTGTGGAGTGGAGGGGAAATATATATACGAAAAGTTGTTTCTAACCCTTGCCAGAGCTTTCCTCTCACTCAGCGTGAGCCTGGTGGGGCAGAAGAGCATAGACCTTATTTTCAATGCCAAGACATCATCACCTTCCACAAGCTGCTGGTGAAACTGCTATTGCTTATGTTAGATGAACCTTATCAGTATCCTTCAGGGATAGTGAATTATTTGAATAGTTACATTGTCATTGAGAGGACAGAAATCTCAAACAAGAGAACAGGAAATGGCAATTTCTTTAAACAATAGCAGAAAGGGGGAAGGGTTTCAAAAACATTTCAAAAATTTATCTGTTCCACCTATTCATTCAAAAAATTTTAAAAGGTAACCGGTTTACTGGTCATTTTTTTCATGAGAAGAATAGTCTGCAAACTGTTTACTGAACTGCATTCTCTGCCTGTCACTTTCTAAAATTTCTTACTCTGTTTCCCAGCCTAGAAGCGTAGTTCACCTTTCCCATTTGTTCTCCATAAAAGCTAGGCTTTTGCCCTCCTGGCCAAGATTTTCTCTTTACTTCCTTGATCTTAATCAGAAAACTTATAGACAGGCCACAAACAGATGGAAAAAATAAGTCTGTGAAAACGCAAAAGTGCATTACTTTGAAATATTGCATTCTTGCAGTATAAGTATTGCCAATGGCCTTGCCAGACATATCTGTATGGAGACAATATGCTTTGGAGAAAGGAACACGAGTTCTTAGATTTTAGGCTTCCCTTGACGTTGGTGTGTGGCCTTGAGTAATGTTTCACTGGTCCTCAGCTTTCATGTGTCTAAAGGAGGATAACAATGTATACATGTTCTTATGGGCATGTCTTTATCTGTCCAGGTACTCATGTGGTTCTCATCATAAGTAACATCACAACACGCGCGTATGTGGTATTTAACATATGTAAAGCTCTTTAAATGCTACTTATGATAGTTTGCAAGTCCAGTAATTTCTCTGCCCTTAAAAGAATGTTCTCCTCCAAAAGCTGGCCAAACAATTGTATTTCATAAAAAATAAACTGTTTCAAAGCCTATAATCAATAGAAAAAGAAATACATTACATTTTAATAAAAAAGTCCAAGAAAAACAATTTTACAAACAAGCATTCCACTGTAGAGGTCACAGTTCTGTTAATGTGCTGAAACTGTCTGGAAACTCACTGTGAACAGTCTAACAATTTCACTGTCAAATATGAGAAATATTCAAGAAAAGGCAAAACCTATGCAAAGTAATCAGTGCATAAATATTTTTAAAAATAATGTGCAGACTTTTCAAATGGTCCTTCTGAAAAATAGATATGAAATTAATTTTGGGGTTGGTTTGGTTTGCTTTCAATAGTAATCCAGAACTATAAATTCTAATATAGGACAATACATCACGAAAGTGCAAACAGGTCTGCAGTTACCCACTGTACACAGATTTATTTTTTTTTAATTCAGCCTTCTTTTTTGCTCTTCTCTTGGCATAAAAGATGACTAAAATACATTTTTCCCTCTTCTTAATGAAAGGAGTATTCCATTAACTCATCTGCTTCAAGTTAAACCTAAGTATATGCATCGGCAGGATTGGGAATTAATCATCCTAGGACTGGGTCACATGTGAAGTTTGAAATCTAACAAAAAATATTTGGTAGCTTTGGAACAGGCTGAGAAAGGGATATTTTAATTCATGTACGTTTGCTCATGAAGAAGTTTTTATGCAGTTTGTCAGATGTCACCTGAAACCTTGTGAGCCTTACCTTTGCTGTTATCCTTTCCTTCTTTCGCATCTTTTTTTCCTTTTCTTTCTCCAAGGCACGTAGAATTTTTTCACTATCCACATTGCTTTGCAACTTACAAAATTCTGGCCAAAATTTAAACAGAAGAGCAAAAACACTCATCTGCACAAGAAGAAAAGAAAGTCAATCTTGACCGTATTAAGAAAACAATTTACTGTAAAATAAAATGTAGTTTACCATGCGAATGAAATAACTATTTCTTTTTGAACACACAGCCTTGTTCCTCCCACGTACTCTGTCCTGACATTTCAGCCCAGATTTGCTCGGCACATGCTTTTCATCAGTGTGTTTATTACTGGTGAGAAATCTTCCTAAAACACAGTTAAAAGGCACTTTCTTTTTTTTTATATTTCCCTAAACAATTGTTTGCATTAATGAGAACATCCATCATTTTTTACAAGTATTCTTGATAAAATATACACCAGTAGAATTGCTTTTGCACCACTGTTCTCCTCAAATATTTCAAATATTCAGTTCATTAGGGAGAGGGCTTTTTTTTTTCCCTTCTTAAGAGAAAGGAAATACTTTTTTGCCTCTGGAAAGACTCTTAAACCACATTACAGATCTATGAGCAAATCTTGGATAATTTTTAAATGATATAATCTCTCATAGGGTCGTTTTTGAACTAGAATAAGGAAAACAATTTTAGAAAAGCAAACAGAGGGGCTCAGTAAAATCTGTTGCTGCACGTACCAAGGCTCACATTTTTCAATTAATTTAGATGTTTAATTCTCATTGAGAAACTTGGCTTCCAAATTGCCGAGCATGCTCAGCACCTCGCTGCTTCTGGCTCAATGGACTTGAAAGTGACAAGTGAGTCACTGTCAGGTTCCAGTCACAGCTTTTTGGCCAAGTTCTTCCTTTGGTTTTGTGCCACATTTCTGGAGTTCACTGGGGTTTTACACAGGCTGAAATGAAACTTCTGTTTCCCTCAGAACCTATGTGAACCCTCTTCTCTGACAAAACATTCATCTTTTGTCATCCAAACACTTTATGGGCTCACAGTTGATGTTTAAAGGTGTTGGTGTCAATTTTACAGAAAAGAAGAAAAACTAGCTTTCTTGGGCTTAGAAGATAAGACAGACAAGGCAGTATCAAGGGACAAGAAAAGAGTAAGTCTGAAGTAAAAGTTCAAAAATTGCTATTCAGTCTGAACAGTACAAAGATGAGAGAGAAAATTGTCTACAGCCATTTAAAACACACTTTTTGTAATGAAGGGAAAGACATTCAGCAAGTTAAGCTGTCTCTGTGCTCTACTCACATCTGCATTTTTCATAAACCATGAAAACTACAAACTTTCTAACTAAAAATTAGTTCTCTCACATTAACCAAGTGGTAAAGAACAAGCAATGAAGAACACAGGTTTAATTTCTACTGCCAGAATTCCTAACACAGACCTAGATAACACCTTTCCAGTATCAGCTAGCTGCCAGAGATCATTTTTATTGAGCAGTATATATCTGAATCCTAATTGTCACATAAGCAACAAAGACTGTTCCTAAAATCAGGCATGCAGGCTCTGGCCAGACCTATTACAGAGATTCGCCCAGCTTCTTACCTGTGCTTCTCTGAAAATGTAAGGTCCTAGTTCTTTCCTGCGCTCCAAAATCTTCTTTGCTTGTTCAGGTGGGATGTCTATCTGCAAAGCTGGGGGTATGGCAGAATTAATAAAGCAGTTGATAATAGCTGTGATCTTTTTCTGGACTATGGCATCAGCACAATGAGAATGGCACAAGTCCTGAAAGATGAAAAATAGCATTTTCAGTCAATGGAGAGAGAGACACAAGACCCTTTAGAGAGGCCCAGTGATCAAAGAATAATAGTCAAAAATATAAAAAAAAAATTATACAATAGATTCCTTCAGTATGTAGAACAAAATTCTTATAGCAAATGTTAATGGTCAAAGCCATAGTTAAGACTTGAGGGGGAGTTCTAATTTGCAAATGCAGATGTATAGCAGTCATGGCTTTTAAGTAATAACCTCTGCCTGCATGGTCAGACGGAACAGGATAGTTTTTAAGTGCATTACTGGCAAATAGGAGGCATTTCTGAAAAGAGAAACACACCTACAGGTGTGAAATGCACTAGTTTTCACAATAAGCCTGCTATGAGTAGCTTAGCCGTGGTAACCAAAATACAAAGAAATGCTCTAAATGCTCCAGCAAAAGAGGGGAAATATTTCGAGGGTACAAGGAATGTTGGTACAAGGGGGACAGTTTTAGCTAACAGTAAAATCTTCCATTTATTGAAATCTTCTAGTTTCACCATTCATTAGGATTTTCTAGTTTCCCAAAACCCTGGGGTTGGAAATAATTGTTTGCAGAACAGAATACAAAACAGATCTGAACTTACAGGAGTGAGATCACAAAGGAATACTGGGAGTTTTCTACTTTTCTTAATGTGATCCTATTGTTCTGATGGAACACCTGTTCTTACTGTGTTTTGATGCCCTGACAATGCTACCATTGGATTTTGACATGAAGGAAAAATAATTCAAAGAACTTCCTCCCAACACTTTGAAACACGAACTTTCCCTCAATCCATAAACATCAAGAAATTTCTATAATACTAGGAGACTATCACTTATATCTAATAGAGTCACAATGAGTGCTCTAGAGAATGTTCAGGAAGAGAGCCCTCTAAATGAAGAATCTGCATTTAGTTTTGGTATAGGAGTCTACATATTTACTTTGCAAAGAAATTAAAAACAGGGCTTTTAACCAGAAATGTGGTATGTGAAAGAGCTGGCTTGTTTTATTATGAATACTTTTCAGTTTTGAAAAGGAAAAAAAGAATGATAACAGCTATAATAAAGAAAGTAAGGCAATACAAAAACATATTCAATATATCCTAAGTATATACTATGGATTCCTTTGTTCATCTAGCATAGAAGAGAAGGCAGAGAGCTGTAGTAAGAGGGAAGACAAACAAGCCATATGATATGAAGAGAGATGAGACTGAGCATAGAGGAACAGATGGAAGTGATCCACAGATTTATGTTTCTTCATATTTGTTTAAAAAGAAATCTTGGTTTTGGATTGCCCCAAGATGTGCTGCCAGCCTGATGGGTTACGGGGAGCATTGACTCCTAAAGGGAATTCTGTCTAAACTGATGGCACGATAGGGCTCAGACAATACAAGTATACACTGTGCAAAGTGCTGCCCACGCCTTTGGCAATATTCCTCCAGTTCAGCCTGACCCACAACACTCCTACTACTCCAGCTCTTTGCTTCTATAAAGAGCATCAACTGCCAACCATGACAAATCACATGCACGGAGAAATACGGTCAGATTGTACTTTTTCTTGATAAGAAGACAAATAAAATTAACATAAATGCAGGAGAGGGGTTGGGACAAAAAACAATGAAGGCTTTCTTCAGAGAGCAGATCTACAGGGAAAAGAGTCTAAACGACACTGCACATTAATTTGCAGAAAGTTTTCATGTCCTCCATAATGTAGCAAAAAAGAGTCACAAATCTGAAAAAAATTCAAATATTTTGGAAAGGATTTATGTCATGGAATACCAGGTGCCTTCATATCAGGTTTTTAATGTAAGGTAGTCACTTTATAACCAAGAGAAAGAAAGCAGCGCCCCCAGAGAGCATTTCAGCTAGTGATTCCTTACTTGGGGATCAGAGCCTTTGTGAGGAAGAGAGATTGAACCCTGGAAACAGAGGAGCTTCAATTTCTAAAGCATACTCCAAAATTCAAATTCTTAAAATTAAACTGTGAAAATACACCCAAATGCCTGCAAAAGATCTCTAAGTACCACTGCAGCATCAGTTGTGTTTACCTCCTAACTTCTGAGCATGTTAGCTCCCTGCCTGCCATGTGCACACAAGCTGTGCTTAGGAGCCCAGGAAAGATTCTGCACTCTGGTAGCACTTTTGCATCAGGAATATTCCAGAGGCAAAAGGAAAGAGGAAAAAGTGAAAGATCTGTGGTGTCCCTGAATTCAATCCAGGGAGCTACTAGGAAGCTGCAGTGTGATTTAAAGGCTCACTCCAGAGCTTTCCCACTGTTTTTCAACCCACACAGCAGCAATTTCACAAAAGTGCATGTATTTGGGAGAGAGATAATCCCTGCTGACCTTCCCCATCACATTTGACTTTGGTCCCATCCTCAGCTGAAGTCAAATGTGACACTACAAAGGGCAAGGGACTTTGGGTCTGCATTGCACATATAAGCATTTTGGGTAGTTAGTATCTTTACATCTATAGATTTGATTGAATTTAAACGTTATCTCTGATTTTTGAGGAATTACCAAATTTAGCAATAATCCCATTATTTAACTGTATGCAGCTATAAAGACAGAATGAACATTTTAACACTTGCATATTTTCTATTGCTCAACAGATGTATACCAAACTCTGGGCATTAGCTAGTTGGTAGTGTCCCTTTAGGGACTCAGAAGAATGTTAGAGTTTGAAGAAGCACAATGAAATATAGGGATTATACATTTGAGTCAAACATAGCTACCCTTAAGAAGCGAGGGTTTTCTTCAAAAAAAATCCTGGTTTAAACCGTGAAAGAGGTTTTACTATGAACAACAGAATGAATGCCTGTAGACATTCTTGTTAAAATTCTCCTAATATGCAGGAATGGATGCATTTGCTTACAAACTGAATGCTATTCCCCCGGCTCCATTCTACCACCATACCTTATACTTTTGCACTTCTTGCCAAAAGAGCACTCCATTCCCCAGCAGGTCTCCTTGCAGTGACACAAAGCGTTGAAACAGATTTGCTGTCACCGGATCCAACAGTGCTTTGCGGAAAGCAATTATTTCACTAGATGAAGAAACACACTTATTGTCCATATGCTGTCAAAAAAAGAAATAAATGCACCAAATAAACTTTGTTTCAAAAAGCAATAACAAAGCCATTAGTTAGCATAAACTGTCTGATTCTTATCTTTCCACTGATCCTAACTTTCAGTAGTTTATGACTTTATGACATGGATACAATAAAATGTGGCAAGGTTTCATTTCTTTCTTTCCTTCTTTTTTCTTTTTTTTTTTTTTCAGTTTGGTTTAGGGAACATTTTTTGGAAGACATGATGGGAGAGGAAATGACTGACAATGATTTAGACCATATGACTACATACTATAAAATATGGAAACAGCTATTGTTATTGATTATGGCAAGAGGCTACTTTTCTAGAGAACAGTTTGAGTTTTGTGCAAACAAACAACAAAGAAAAAGGAACAGACAAACCACATAGCTTAAAGTTGTAAAATGCTTCTGACAGGGATCTCACCAACAAAATGAGCTTTGAAATGTGTTGCCATGATCACCAGCAGAAGCCAGAGAGTTTGCTCTCTGTGGAATAAAGCTACCAACAGTAAAACAGAATTTAGAGTCATCAAGACATTTTGGAAATCCTCATGCTGCCAAGCACAAAACAGTAGGCAGCCAGGAAAGGGTGGAGAAAGAAAGATGGCTTATGCAGAGACAGTTTGTTTGAAATGAAGTTCATGCTGGCCTGTCTTCCTGAACAAACAGTTCTTGTACTGTTGCTGAGGAGCAAGCCAAACAACCCCCTTTTGTTATCAGATGGATGAATGAAAACCATCTTTTAACAGTGGTTTAAACCTCTTGAAGTCCTGGAGGGATGGAGTACTCTTCAATGGTCAGCATGGGACAAAAACATTTTTAATTGTTGCCAACGGTCCTGGAAATCTAACCTGATCCTAAGCTGAAAGAGTTTCTGCAGCTGCTCTTAAACAGGGGTTATGCTTTATGTCCTGCCGCAGAGCCTGCTGGGCTGAGAGCTTACCCTTGTGAGAGGGAGGGTGGTGGCTGTCCAGAGGGTCCTTGGTTAAAATAAAGTCAGATCAACTTAGGCAGTAGGGTGGGATCTTCTCAGCCCTTGTCTGATTCTCCTACTACGTTCTATCCCCTGTGACCAGGAGTTAGGCAACTTTTGGGAAAAATTATTTCTGGGTCATATTCATGAAAGGAAGAACAAAACATTGCTCCCATCCCTATACCAATATACAAACTGCTTATTTTATGGGTCAACAACCTTGAAGCAGAACATGGAAAATAACCATCTTCCTGACAAACAGACAAAGGGAAAACTCAGTTAACAGAACCCATATGCACTTTGGATCCCTTTTGTGCTGATGGTTTGCATGGATAATTGGTGACCGGGTCTCCAGTTTGATTTCAACAGACAATAAAAGTTCAACTGAACAAATGTACACAACTTGTATGTTGGCAATCACAAAAAGTTCACTGCTCTTCAAGAGGAAAAAACTGGCAAACATCTGATGAAATGTATTATTACAAAGGTTTAAGAAGTTTAAATTTGATATTATCTCAGTGCTATGAGATTAAAATACAATTCTAAATGAAACAGATACTGTGAGATATGATTAAACCTGCCCACTCCACTGCATACTTCACATTCCCTTTTGTGTCTGCACGTAATCCACTTGCAATAATAAATAAACTACCAGATGCTGGAATGAACAGCTTGTCCCAATAAGTCCACTGCATGCAAAATACAGATAAATGTGAACTAAAGGTACAACATCAGTTTGAGGAGGGTTAAGAGTGCTCCAAAGCCCAAGACAAGAGACATGTTTTTATCAAGTATGACCTCTCCAGCCAGGAAGGGAGTGAAATTTACCATGAACATCAGCAGGGAGCTAAATTCAGGAGTAATATGAGTAATCAGTCCACTTCAGCCAATACAATCATGTCTGCTTTTGACAGCATTACATTTGGGCCTCACACTGTCAACAGAGAAATTATGAAGAATGTGCAAAGTCCAAATGAAAAAGACAGTGAAACTGCAGACACAAGAGATATGGTACATTTCACTTGCCTTCCAGATCCTGGTTGTCTTCTGCTGGTCTTTGCGTAAAAGATCTTCGGTTATGTCCATTATCTACAGTTGAAAAGTAGATTATAATTGTATTTTTAAACTCTTCTTGCTTCTTGTTCAGCCCTCTAATGATAGAGACCACAGTGGTAGAATAATTTATATGTCTTTGTTTGGATTTTATGTCTGAAACTACTTGTGGACCCACACTGAATGCCAGCCCTTCTTCAGCTATAAATGAGACTGGGAAGTTAGAGAAGAAAAGAAGCAATAGCAGTCAAATTATGCACTTCCACTGGTTTACTTTACCCATGAGGGACCACTTATTTTAGTAACAAATTTTGGTGGGTTTTTTTTTTTCCCCAGTATGAAATGTTTTTAGTTCCTTTGGACAGCTGTATCAGAAATACAGACTTGATCCTGCAACTTCTTTGTAGCAAAAATACACCTCAAATCAAGGGCAGGTTTTCTGAATAAGGACTACATAGCATGCCCACAGTATTTGGTCACTGTGAAATATGAAGCCAAGTAGAGAATGTCATCTGGTTTCATTTCTTCTAAAATACTTTCTTCAAAGGACCTTTTCATCCTCTGAATTTGCAATAAGAAAGAGAAAAGAGCAGTAAAACATAAATGGAGTTAGGAAAAGACTAAAAGCTCATTAGAAGTATGTATTTCCTGTAAACTGTTTATTTGAGTTGAATACAACATTTTCTAAGCTACTTGGGCTAATCTGCCTGCCAGCACAGTGCAGCAGGTGCAAGGAGGTCTGAGTTAGCTTCCAGACCTGGAAGCAGCTTAGCCTTATTGCATAGTCTTGTACCAGGACTTGTAAAGGAGGCAGAGTTCAGCTAAAATGGACAGAAAAAATTTTAATTTAATTAAATAATCATTATTAAAATTACTATTTGTCTTATCAGAACCTATACTTTTCACATTCCTTAGTCTTCTGAACCAATGGAAAGGATCCAGTTCATAGCACCTCTGACAACCTTCTTGATGTTATAGAGATGACAGAAAGCAAATTTTATTAATCAATGCAGTTGCATATGTGTCTGCTTGGTGGAACTGTGAAGTTGCCTTCTGCCATGACATTCGCATGTCAGAGCTGTTGTGGAAGTGCAAAAAACTAAGTCTCTTTGCATCTGTCAGCAGCAGGATGATCTCCTTACACAGATCACAGCCACAGAGGCATTCATAAAAGGCAGATTTTCAGACTTTCTAATGAGCCAGCAGGAGTGAAAGGCTCCTCACTCCCAGTTTTCTGGCAACTTTCTGAAGTAACCAATTGGAACAAGGCTTATAGCAGTTAACCTCCCCACTCAGCAGAATTTCACAAGTCCTGAAGTAATTTCTACAAGCATTGCAGCTCCAGATGGGAGAATGCAGACAGCATAAGAGAGAGAAAGAATTACAGCACGGGAAGCCCACTCATTTGCTTGTGTTCTGGTGCCCTTGGGCAAATCCTTTACACAAAGCAGCATTTCTTCAGTGCACAAGTGTATGGCTAGGGCAAAATGGCATATGGAGAGTGTAGCACTACAGCAAAGATTAGTTGACTCTCCTGGCAGCCTGCCTGGCAGCAGAGCTAATACCTGCTCCTTCAGATTTAGGATCTAACAATAATACTGTCAGCTAAACTAAGCCTTCAGAGCAACTGCCTTCACAATTATCAGGCTGAATGTTTCAACCTGTACATGCTACAGCACCTCTTTCAGTGTAAACTGAAAGAGAGTTGTGGGCTGCTTTTCCTCTGAATCTTTGTATCCCAATGGTTAATTATGAGCCAAACACAAAACAATGCCTGAAAGTGTTGCTGTTGTTAAAAAATTACCTTTGCTTGTCCCTCCACCCCACGGTGTTCATCTGCCAGGAACAATGGCAGCCATTGTTTTTCTAATCTCTTCTGGACGCACTGCTGAACTTCTAGCAGAACTGCTGCCGAAAGTTGATCATGAAGGATTTGTCTCCTTCCTCCACCTGACTGCATTAGCTAAGCAATCCAAACACAATAACACATGACATAAACTTTTGTGTATACCAAAAGTCCTTTATCTCTCTACATCCTTGATTTAGCAAAGCATGAGCTTAATTGTAAGCAAAGCATTTAATGCATGCTTACCCAAGGCTCATATGTACTTTTCATAAGAGAGAACAGATTACATTTGTCCCTACCTATAATAGGACACAGACTCTGGGAAATAATACCCCAGCTTGACCAAGTAAATTGCCTAAGTATCAAGATATATCAGAGTACCACAGCTCAGACTTACTGTCTGTGGCTTTACTGACATACTAAATAGAAAGCTGGAACAAGTCACTGTGCCTGAAAGCCATTTTTACACTTTTTCTGAGCTGTGTTGTGCATGCTCTGGCTGTGGCCTCAGATCAGGGTTTAAGAGAGATGTTCTATAAGGAGCAGGGAGGAAGAACTCAAACAGGAAGGAAGGGACCCCCAGAACCAGAACAGAATTAGACTTCTGGTCAAAAATATAGGTAAGATTTGAGGATATAGCTTGGGGAAAAGCCGAATTAAACCCTCTTGTGGACTTTTATCTCAGAGACATTCAGTGTGATTGTTCTTTATAAATGGTTTTGTAACTGGTACCTTTTCTTGTTGCTCTCTGGTAGCTGGGCTGTTGGGTCCAAAGAAGTACTCATCATTAAAGTACTTGCTTTCAATGTCCTTAGACTTTTCTTCACTTCTTTCTTTATCCTTGTGGAGCATCTTTCTGAACTCTTCAATATCAAGCCAACACATGAGATCCATGCTACAAATTTAAACAGAATGTTATTTCAGTATTGAGTACATATCATCAACATTCTAGGGAGTTATTTGTTTAACCACAAGCCACCAAAGTAATCAAGACCTAAATACCAGGTCAGATTGGGCTGAAATTTTATGTCATTTTTTTCTTTGCTAAGTACCATCTGGTGAGACCATGGCACTTGCTGAACAGGCAGATCAAACACACATCTTGGGGATCTCATTTAGGGTCACTTTTGGGGTACCCCAAAAGGAGTACCCTCCTCAATATGCCACTGCTAAATCCAGCAGGAACTGTGAACTAGAGCCATAGTGTAGAGCTCACAGAGAGAACGAAAAATTAAACAGATGAGAATTTGAATCACTACTGAGGCTGTGAGCCACTGAAAGACAAGTTGATGCCTCCTGTTCTGCCCCCTTGTCATATTGCCTGAGAAAGGAGCATGGATGACACCTGGGAACATCAGCCCCAAAAATCACCCCCTTCCTACCCTGTGTGAAATGCTAGAGTTTAAGTCAGTCTGCAGTCAAGCAGACAAAACAATTTATGATAAAATTTGTTTCTAGAGCTTTTTGTGGGATACTTTTTCATAAATTACTGATTCTACTACTTATTTAATTATTCATAGTCAGTGACAATCTCTATCTGCAATCCTCAGTCTATATATTTCTCATAACATTTGAGTGTACACTATAAATTTAAGTTTGTTTTCATAGAATGGTTTTGTTCTTTAAATCAGAGGACAGAATAATTGACATACCTACAATTTCAGTTTAATTTATATAACTGTTTTCTGATGGTGTCTTATTAGCTGAAGTTTTGTGAGCATTTTAATTAGGACATTCACTGTATTTGAAACAGGAAATATGAAACATTAAATTCAGGCAAATCTGTTTCACTTTTCCATTCAGCTAATAGCTGGTTTTTTCAAAGTATTAATCTATGAGTAAAACTTTCAAAAGCATTTGACTGATTTAAGAACAGATGTTCTCCTTTCAGAAATCTTTTGAGATCCTTACAGCCCTAAGTTCTATTGAAATTCCTTCATTTGCTAGTTCATCACAACATGAATAAGTTCACTCAAATTCAAGTGCTCCAAGTTACTGTGGTTTATGGAGTAACTCCTTGGCATCTACCTATGACAATTGATCAAATATGTGCATCTTATTTTAAAAGTACAATATATAATTTTGAAGTGTGTTAGTTAAACCATATACAGTGGTGGCTTATCCTGGCTTACTGCACTTTTCTCTTTCAACAGATCAGGAGCACAGGCATAATCAATTAGTCTGGCGAGACTAACAAATGGAACCCACTAAGTCGAAGTAACACAAACTGTCCTGCAATTGTGTGAATATATTCTATATATTTAATTAAATATTAATTAATGAAACTTCTTTTAGTTTCTTACCAGAATTTGTGCACAGCTACTTAGAAGCCTGTCCTTCCTGAAACTTGGATCACTTATAGTTGGAAAAATCAGAACCATAAATTTTGATGAAAAGGTAAATGGCACATTTTTTGTTTTTTTCTGAAAATTTCCAGACTGCATTAGTTCTAGGATCCCTTCAGCTTATAGTACCATTAAGCATCTTTACTATGGTATGCCTGCTGGACTACAGAGTTACTACATCTGGATCCAGCTCTAAAACACTTTTGTGAGACTTTTTCAAATGTTTTTCTTCATTATGAATTTTTACAAAAGAAAATTTCTCCATAAATTAAATATTTCTCTGCCTGGCTCTACCACTTCAGAAGGGACTTGTCTGTGATTAACAGAGAGGCAGGAAATCCCAGAGGCAATTCAGTGTCCCTGTCCAGGACCTCATCCTAGCCAGTGACCTGTTATCTGGTGATTCCTACCATTTCCCATGTTAGAGAGTATCTCAAGACCAGTAGTTTCCACAGTGGGGTGTGTGCAGCCAGGAGGTGTTAAAGATCATTTGTTAAGGGGCAGGAAGAAAAGATTATAACTACAGTAGCACATGCGTATAATGTATAAAAGAATTAAATGTACATATATTGAGGGCCCATGCTCAAAAATTTTTTACTGATGAGTTGCATGATCAAAAAAGTTTTGAGATGACTGCTCTAGACAACTAACTCAGAAGTGACTTGACTGCAGGCACCCACAGGATGAGAATATCAATTACCTGCAGTCCTTTTGTAGTCAGTGAGAAGAAATAGCCATCTTAGGAATGATCCGTCCAAACTGGTTTTAGATGTTACCTTCAGAATTAGAAGAAATGTGTCCAGAAGTGTGTATTTCTCTCTCTGACTACAAAGGGAATCTTCTGATGATAAGCAGAAGTGATGAGATTGAGTCTTGGCCAGGGGACTTCTGTGCCAGATGCCCATCTCTGGACACTTTTGAAAAAGCTGACCAATATCCAATCTAAAATTATAGCAGTGCTTGACTAGAAGCACTAGACAATATGCAAAGCATCAGCTCATGGGAACTTGGGTTAAAGGAAGGAAATGATAATTTAAGGACAAAAAAAGAAAAAACAAAAACAAATGGGCTCACTTTTTCAAAAAAACCTGCCCAAACTGTATCTGCTACAGGCAGGTACTTAAATCTGTTCAGCAAACACAAAACTGTGGTTACTCTTGCGCTGTGAGAATAATGTGTCTGTCTTCTACTATTTGTACATTTTTATAATACCCAGCTTTAATTTTAAAAATGTAATAAATTGAATCTGCACTAAAAACTATAAATTTTTACTCATTAAAGGCTAATTGCTCTACTCAGGGGTTTGCCACTAATCAAAGCAGAAACAGAAAGCAAAAGTCTAATACAAACAAGCTATGAGAAGATAATTTTTACCCCAAAATGTTAAGAAAATTCAGTTGTCTGAACAATGTGCATGTGTATTCCTAAATATGCAAATGCATTTTTAAAAAACACTAAAATCTGTGAACATTTAGATAGCCAAGATCCCCCGCAAAGATTTCTTCTGAACTTAGAAATAATAAAAAAAAAAAAAAAAAAAAAAAATAATAATAATAATAATGAAGGAACATACCCAGCAGAATGCTCATTAAGAAAAGCCCAGAACTGTTTTAACTTCTCTTTGTCATGGATCAGGTCAGACAGATTAGGACCTGCCAATCCTTTGGGAATTTGACGCAAGTATTGATCATCCGGGAAGGATGGCAGACCAGTGTCAGCAACAGTACTCTGAGGGAAAAAATTTTTCTGCTTGCATAACTGCTTTTTTCATCTCTATATTTTGCTCAGTCTAATAATCCTTGCATTAGATAACCCGTCTCTGTAAAACAGCTTTTTGGTTGCTGAGGAAATAAATTGAGTTAAGGCTCCAGCTCCTAGTCAGCTTTACTTTTACATTTGCTTTAAACATACCAGTGTTTGCCAGTTCCATAATCAAATAAACCAATATATACCTGTAATTTACTTGAAATTGAGGTATTTACTCAAGATTAAGGGCCCAAAATGTATTCCACAGACTTTAGTGGAAACTGTCTCATTGACTCCAATCATACAGTGGTCTGATGTTGATATAACTGACAGAAGACCCCTATATCTAATTAACACAGTGGCTGTCAATCAGTCCCCAAAATGAATGGTAGAAATCGGACTATTTGCTTCTCCAAACTGGCATATGGTCATGCTTTCATTGCTAATACTCAAAGTGTTAACCCTCCCTGATAGAAAAAGGGGTTGTTTCTCTTAGTAGGTACTTGTCTTACCTCATCCTTCTTGGAACCACTCACTTGATGCAAAGCCTGGAGCTTTCTAAAGCACACAGAGTCCAGCTGTTGAGTTTCTTCCACCAACTCCACCTAATAAAAATAATATCTTATATCATCCCTGCAGTACACATTATAGAAAGATGGAGAACTGCGTGGGCACTTTGCCAGTGACAGTAGATAGAAAAGAATATGTTTGCCAGTAATGAGACTGATGTTTAGAAGACACTAGAAGTCACATTTTTCTGACAAACAATTCTATTAAAAGCTCTGGTAGAACAAAATTTTCCTATCTTTGTAGGATCAGATGTAGATTTCTGCAGAAAACCACTAAATAACCTAACTATATATTTAAGAAAAGAACTTTGTATTAAAAAAATTGCTAAATTATATTGTCTATATAATACATTCTGTATATTGTGTATATATATATATTATATTGTGTATATTGTGTCAGACTTACTTGATTGTCTATACCAGCAAATCGTATGTCAAAGTGCCACTGAGAAGCAGAAAAACAGTTCTTAAAACTATGACTGTCAATGGAAAATGTCAAAGAGACAGAGTGCCACAGATTTCCAGAAAAAGAAATTTAAGATGAGAAAGATGTTCTAATATCTAAACAAGAAAGGTGAAAGCTTTCAGACTTTCAGTCTTGTCTCCTTCCTTAGTTTTATACCAGGTAATGCCTTAAGTAATAAATTGTGCATGATTTGAACTCATGAAGTATTGGCATTTTTTAACTTAATTACAAGCCTTATGTATATAACTACAGCAGTTCTCCATGTTATGTGCAAACAATCAGTAATTGCACAAGGGATAGTTTGGTGACCTCTCAGCTGACTAAATCATTCAAATTCAGATTTTAGAATATTTAGCAAAATTGAGCCAATGCCTTACTGATTAGCATGCCCCTTACAAAGATTAGAAAGCTGTTGTTGTCTTATACAAGAGTTTATGTGCGAGAGAGAAGAGTTTAGATTATATGCATTACATTTTCATCTAAATGTGAATACCACACTAATCACCGTGTTATCTAAATGTCTTCAGGCTCAGTGTAATTCTGTTCCACTGCTTATAAAGTACTCTGGGGTATTCATTCCCTTAAAAGAAAACATAGTTTAAAAGTAAATAGTAAAATAATTCAGAACATTTAAAGAAAAAATGTAGATATGTATATACTGACCATGTCCCAAATAAGCAAACTTGGACTCACCTACTTCTTGACAAAGTATCTTGTTTCATTATGGGCCAAATATATCCTGCTATAGGGTAGAACAAAGGGGAAGAGTAGAGCCAGGGACTGAACAAAATACAAAGCAGATCTTGTCTAGGAAGGAGTGTGCCTAAGTATCAGCCTGCGCCTAGTACAAAGAGACTCTAGTGCCTCCTAGAACAGGTCGTTTTACGTCTGTGTATTATAACTCTTCACAAATGCATGTACTGTACAGTCAAAAGTACTTAGTTCTGGTTTTTTGTGCCCTGATTAAGATGTTTGTGTTATTAGAGCACTAAGAAGTCTGCACGTAACTATATTTGCAAAGCAACGCATCCTCGGTTAACTCCAGGATACATAAACTGACACAGATATTAACTTTAAAGGAAAAGTATATATTTTCAATTCTTACTTCGGAGGAATCCTTCCACCCCTAGAAGCAGTGACAATTCTGTATTCAGAGAGCTCAAAAGCAGACTTCTTTTATACAAAAATTATGTATAACAATACTTGGCTGAACTGATGATTTGACTCAGTGAGAACCAGCAGTAGATACTAGACAACTAGTATTGATAATACACATGGAAAATATACAGTTACAAAAGACTAAAACTAGTCTGATAGAAAGTAAATAAAATTTCAGATTCACAGAAGTATCAATCAATTACACAGTGCTTTGCAGGTCATAAAGAATAACAGCTGAAATAGATTAGAAAAAAAAATCTATCTGAAAGGTTAGAAAATATGCTGAAAAGTGAAGAAAATATTTTGCAGATTGGATTAGTATATTTCATTTTAGTAAACTTTATCAGTGTTCAAACTTTCAAAGTTTCTAAAGGAAATTATGTTATCACAGGATGAGAAGTAAAGTCCCCTTGTGAATTAATTAGAAGGTAGAAAATCAAAACCAAAGAAATAAATAACTTTCACTGTAGGGTGGGGTTCTTATTGGAATCTCACAGGGATCTGCACCGAGGTTGTTTTTTTAAACATTCAGAAACTATCTGGAAAAGGAGGTGAGTGAGGAGACAACAAAGTTTGCAAAATGATTCCACAGAGCAAAAAAATTAAATGGACTGTGAAAAGCTGCAGGATTTCAGGACACTTTAGCATCTGCATGATAAAAGGGGCAGCTGAATTCAATGATAATAAACATTAAGTCATTCCAATAAGCTCCAAATGAGGGCTTTCCATTAGTTGTTATTACTTGGGAAGGAGATCTTGGAATCACCACAGATGGCTATTAGCTTACATTTTGCACAGCCACTCAAAGTTCACCAGGAGTCAAAATGCAATTAGAATGATAGGAACAATTAGGAACAGAACAAAGAGAAAAACAGAAAACATGATTCTGCCACTGGATAATCCTTAGTGCATCCAGACCTTGAGTACTGCTTACATCTCATCAAAAGAATGTAAAATAACACATGAAGATGGGGCGATAACTGTAACAAAGGTATGGAACTTCTGTAAGAGAAGAAGTCTAACAGTCTAGGATTCTTGAGTTTCAAGGAGGTGTAACTGAAGTGGGGTACAACAGAAACTTGTAAAAGCATAACAACATTGAGAATATGATAAGACAACAATTGTTCACTTGTTCCTCACGACATATAAAACTAGGGCACCAGGGGAAATTACCAGGGAGGGGTTTGCAAACAAATCAAGATAAGGACTTTTTTCTCCCATTGCATGACTAAAACATGGAACCTACTTCTACAGTGAGGCTAAAGATATATCACTCAAGACACATTTACATAAACCCATGTGGAAAAAAAACCTTATTAAAGATTATTAGACACAAATATGTGGATAAGATCTCTGCTCCATGAGCTTCCTTGGTTGCAAAGTGATGAAGCTGGCATACTGCTATGTGGGTTTTTTTTCTTTTCTTACACTCCATTCTTAAGTGTTTAATACTAGCCATCACCTAATAGGCTTAGAAGACCATTCTCAACCTTGATTTTAGGTATCTGTTCGCCTAGTTGTTCTTACATGCATGCATGATACAGCACCAAAAATAGAATTTCAAAGTGTTTTGCACAAGGCAATGCCGGCATGTTCTCATTACAAGTTGACAGAAGTATCAGTAATAAATGATGATATTTCCTATAAATTGGAGATGCTATATCTAAAGTCATAGTGGAGAAAAACAGGAACAAGAACTAACTTCCTGCCCTCCAATTCCTGATTCTTCATTATAAGTTTCTCCTTCCATATCCAAGAGAGATGTTAAAGACTTGAAATTAGAATCACAGAATCACAGAATATCCTGAGCTGGAAGGGACTGAAAAGGATCATCGAAGCCCAACTCCTGGTCCTGCACAGGTCCACCCCAATGATCACACCACATTCCTAAGAGTGTTGTCCAAATGCTTCTTGAACTCTGGCAGGCTTGGGGTCATGACCACTTCCCTGGAGAGCCTGTTCCAGTGCCAATGACCTTCTGGGTGAAGAACCTTCTCCTAATATCTAACCTAAATCTCCCCTGACACTCCCTTCCATGCCGTTCCCTCAGATCCTGTCACTAGTCACCAGAGAGATGGTATCAGTGCCTGCCCCTCTGCCTCCCCTTTTGAGGAATCTGTAGACCATGATGAGGTCTTCCCCCAGTCTGTTCTTCTCCAAGCTGAACAAGTGACCTCAGCTGCTCCTCATAAGGTTTCCCCTCTAGGCCGTTCGCCATTTTCTTAGCCCTCCTTTGGATACTTTCTAATAGCTTTATATCTTTCCTATATTGTGGCGCCCAAAAGAAGTTTGACCTACAGCTGGCAACTTGTAGGTAAGTTTACAAAGAACAGAAAGCCACAGCATCAACCACTGTCACGACCATTTCTTGGTTTTATCTGTCAAAGGCAGTCAGGATTGCAGCCACCTCTTCTGACCTGCATAAGCTTGCCCAATTCAAGCCTTCAGAGCTTTCTGGAATTAGAACTGAGTACACTTCTGAGCCACCTACTTCAGGAGGCCTGCAAAGCACAGTTAGCCCTTACACAGCAGAGCAGTGATCTAAAAAATGTTTGGGGCAAATACAGCTGGATCACCATATCACGTCTTCTTATGCTAAGCTGTAGCTGCACTTACATTCTAAACACCAAGAAATACTGGATGCCATTCTTGATACAATTAATATGGACCTAGTATCACTGCACTGACGCTCTAGAAACACAGCTTATTGAGTGCTTATGATTAAAACATAGAGTGTCTGTGGGCAGTCATCATAACAAAATTACTTCTGATCAATGGTAAGATTACAGAAACATGATGTTTGCTGAGCGCAAAGAGAAATTTTTCCATAGCAAGATGCATTCCTCTCTAATTCACAGGCAAGGAGCCTATGAAGTCCACACCTTCCTTTCAGATGAGCTGTCTGTTCTCCACAAGAAGCTCAGCCTACATCACATATCAACATAGAAAGGAGTGGCTAAGCAAAACATCTTGTAATACTTCTCACTTCCTAACTATAAATATAACAGGATTGCATATGAAGGTTCTTGTGATTTTATTCCCTGACATAAGACTTTTTCATGGTGTCATCCAGATCTGTTACCTTTCCATAAGTATATTTATCTGCTTCCACCATCTTCATCCATGGTTCTAGGAGAATAGTGAGAATATATTCTTCTGCTGGGTCAAAAAGGTCCTCAAAAGCTGGGTCCATTTTCTGATAAATCATGTTTCTCTTATTCTGATGAAGTCCAATGTCCATACTGGCAGATGGGGCAATGTAAGTTGCATAAAGGAACTAAAATAAAAGAGAAGAAAACTGTTTCTTAGCCATCATCCATTTCAATGGTCACAGACTGCTGAAGGAGAAATTAATGCATATTTGTCCCCCACTGCCCTGCTGTATATTCTGAACATATATCTAATTACAACTACCTTATTTTTTACCAGTATTACTACTTTGTCCAAAATTCAGTTATTGCCATAATGGATCCCCCTGCCATTTTTACTCCTATTTGTTAAAATGGTTAGATCAAAAAATAATGTTTAACACAATTTTCTCTTGGAGATTCTTGGTTGATTCTTAGATTCGGATAGCTACAATCGTTACAGGAACTGCGCTGCTCATGAAGTCACGCTGTTTTGCAGAATATGTGCTGGGCCAACTAGTGAAGGTATCTGACTTTTCTGAATAGATAGTAATTTGTAAACTTAAGGTTAAAATTAATGAAAAGCTACACAATATTCTGTGTGAAGATTCTCTTATATAGTTTTTTGACATTGGTGAGACTCCATCACAGTACAGGGTCCATGCAGAAGATTCCACTGCACAACTGAGGTCTAAATCCTTACCAAAGAAAGGTTTACAATATGCTTTTTATCTGGCACATACAGAGTTTGCCATTCCACATGTCATGATGGCATGTCATGATATGACATGACATGATGATGACATGATGAAGCATAGAGGAATGTTTTATTTATTTCAATTTTTTTTTTAAAACTTACTTAATCCCCTAAGTAAAATTCTTGTTTTCTAAAGGTTTCATGAATATGAAAATGAACATTGAAAACTCAGAGAAAAACACTTTCTTCCAGGAATATCTTGGAAGAGGATATTCCAGAATATCTTTATAAAACATCATGAGTCTGACTGCAGCTAGGAACTCAACTGAAATAAAGATGCTGCCATAATATATTTCACGTAAGTATTTTCTCTTCTTCATATTCTCAAAGTCCAACTCATTTTCAAACATACAGTCAGGGATCAGGTTAGTAGCATAAATCAGAATTTCTCCCTAGGATGGCAGTGACAAGTCCATCTTTACTATTTATTATCACAGAGGCTTGGCAATGAAGAATTCAGGAATATGACAATTCTCGTTTTCCTCATTTTGCAAAAAAGACAGCTGTAACTAGCAGATGTACAAAGCAATAGAAAAGAAGAAAATAAGACATTTACTCAGTGTTGAAGCAGTAATAAAACACTGGTGTGCTTAGATTTCAAACACAGGGGGAAGAATGTTTGAGTACGTTAAATAACTATGTTTCTGTTTGTTTTAAATTAAATTCTGATTTATTAGACTCTGTCAAATAGCAACAGCATCAGAGTTTTTGGACCTTTACAATTTGAAACAAACCCTTTAGATTCTCCTGGTATTAGGTCACTGAGGAATACAGGGCTTCGATGGCTGACATCCATCCCTCAGTTAGCACTTGTTACAATTACCATATTTATTGTCTATACAGGATTCCAGAGCCTTTCTACATAGATCTAATCACTGAAAACAAAGATGTTTTGTGGCTATTGTGGCCCACATTATCAGTGCAATAAAGATACACAGGAGTAAGAGAGAGAGAGCACATCCACAGGAAGACTCCTAGCTGAAGACAAAGACCACATTTATCCTAAATTATGCCCTTCTCAGTAAGTCCCCAAATACATTTAAATTTAACAGAGACAGCATTAATTACATTCACAGCAATTTAAAAAGTTGGAAGTTATTTCGAAGAGCCCTAACACTAGTAAAGTTTAAGTTAAATCATGTTGTAGTCTGATCAAAACTAGTTAGTGTATAAAATAGACAAATTAAAAGGGACAAGTCCAATGATATAAAGATGTGGTATCTTTAAAAACAGACCTTTTAAAGAGGGGTTAACCATTTTGTTTGTCATTAGAACTACACTGCTCCACCTGTTATGTCTCACAAAATCGCACAAGGGATCTTTTTACCTTTAAAAAGGTGAAAAGGTTCAAAAATATGTCCTCAATATTTTAACACACATCTAACTTGGCTCCTTAACTGGGTGATCATTTTTGCATAATTTTAAGAATGAAGTTAAAACAAACATGCCACAAGTTCCTCAGGCAGAATTCCTTTGCCCTATGATTTTGTATGAAATAGGTTAATGAGTATATTTGTTAGCCTTCTTCAGAGCTGACAAAAAAATATCAGCCTGCAACCAGAAATTGCCCAGACTAAGGAAGCTTTGGCCAAAAACTATTGACATAAACACTGTCATAATATACTGCCATTCTAGGGATTGCCTTTGCACACTGCTCTACCTGCAGAACTGCCCCCAGTCCTGTGTAATTTCACATTCAGAACCACAGCACAGTAGAGACAGATTTTTTTTTCCAGAAACAATAGGGCAGGTAATACGTATGAAGCAGAAATTTAGAGGTGGTTAAGTTAACTATAGGAATGCACTTTTCCAACTCAGAGAATCAGGCCCTTAGTGGTGTAATCAGGATGGCCACTTCACTTCGAAGGATGCCATCTCTTTACTTGAATTCTTGTAAGAATCCATTGCTATAGGATTTGACCTAGTAAAAAGACAGTATCACAAAGTGACAAAGTGAATGCATGCACTTGCAGATAGGGGAGAAATGAGAAGGAGCTTTCATCCTCGTGTCCCTTGCTGAAGTGCATCTGTAGATCTGCACAGATTTGATTGCAAGGACTGCAAGAAAACCAACTGAGGAGAGTTCTAGACACGTCAAAAAAATGGAAAATTGTCTGTGTTCACAGCCTTCAACTCTGGGCAATGCAGTTTGCAAGATACATTTTATCCTTTAAAAAGTAATATTCATAGCCTTTTTTGATTCCCATATCATGGAATTCTTGTGATTTTCTGAATCTCAGTAGAATATTGGAACTGTTGTATTAGCCAATCTCCTAAGGGATCAACAGGAAAAATCACATTAAATGAACTTATAGGTTAACACATTCATACAAAAATCTGAAGCATTTGATGTCAAGTACATATCATACTTTGTTGATTAATTGGTTTGTTCCTATTGAAAAACATGAAGAATTGTTCTACTTGCCAGCCATAAATTTTCCTATAAATGTATTAGAATAAGTGATGGATTGAACCCAAAACTGTATCTGGAAATTTGGTCAGTTTGTATATTGAAATTACTTAAAATGGCACAAACCTGAATACATGAAATGCTTAGAAAATTCAGATTAAGACTTTGGCCCCATTTATGACTTTTGAAATCAGAGATTGTACAAGCTTTGGTGTGAAGCAAGAAAGATTTAAGTCCAAGTGCTTTGTATTGCTGCCCAGAGGCATGGATATTGCTCTGATCTAAAAGAGGGGCTTGTGCAGTTGCTTGACAGAATCATATGATGGAAGAATGCAATGCACTGACTGGTCTTAAACAAAGAGGTTAAACTACCTTAACCTCCATCATCACTTCCCACTAATATAAATCCTGTGTCTGACCCAAAAGTTCACAGTAATAATAACCACCTTTATCTAAACTGATTCTACTGTTAAAATATTGGATTTCCCACAACTGTATTAAATTTTCTAACTCTAAATAACTTCTTTTAAAATCAAAACCTATGTTATGTGGGGGTTTATTGCTTTTATTTTTAATTTTTTTTTACACTCCTGTGCATGTTTATAGTGAAAAACCATATATGTTCCTCGATGATTACCGTCATTACTTGTCATTATTCTCATCCATCAGATTTCATTCTCACTGTAGTTTCTTTCCCTGGATGAATGCATATACACCTTGGAATGCATTTTATTACTCTGTCATAAAGCTAAGATAACAATGCCCAACAAACGAAACAATGAGTAGTAGATACACAGCAATCCAGGTTTGTCCTTGTTTCTAGAGGAAGCAGGCAGAATCCATACGGAATACTCTGCATGTCTCTTTCTGTAATAAACAGTAAAATATATATGACAATATGTCATGCAAATCTGATCCACATTCTCTTAGGAGTATTTGGAATGACTTTGTTGTGCCAAAGGTGAGCGCAGAATTTGGGAAGGCATCTCTTCCCCAAGCAGACCCTGTAGATTGGTTGCAGCTTGACTCTTTACCGTGTTCCAACAAAAACAAGTATAATTTTTCTGCAGCCTTAAAAGGCAAACTTGAGAATGATACCAAATGTTGCAGCACATGTGTTGATTTGTTATGTTACATTTCAGCTGTTAGTTATGCTAATGGAACAGTTTCACATATTTCGTTTTGATGTATTTACTTTAATGGCTATGTGTACGTACTCTCTGCAATTGCCTGGTAACACTGATTGTACGATGTTCTGCTGTCACCACCAGGCCAGCACTGGAAATAAGATAAGTAAAAAAATCCTGGGCCTTAATGTTGTTCAGCCATGCAACCACTGCAGAAACAATGTAAGTTGGTGTGAAATGAAACCAAATTAAAAACCGTAAGGGACCATAACCTAAGATTTGGCCTGCAACAAAATACACAGGAAAATGGTGACAGTCTAGATAACTCGCATGTCTGCTGTGAGCAGGGCCCTCACCACACACATGCCTGGGCATATAGAGGAGACAGTCAGACTTAAGGGTACATTCAGTTGCCTACAGCCTCATGCCATAAACAGAGCTGGAGGGGAAAACAACTAAATAGCGTAGCAGTTCAGTTTACCCAGACAGGAGAGAAGGAAGAATCCATGTGTCAGCCTCTGCTTGGAGTTTCTGTACAAATAACACTGATTCAGGTGAGAATTCCAGACAAATATGCAAAATTCTCTCATTTGCCCCAGTAAAACCTCCAAGAAGGAAAAGAAGACAAATTCAAGGATGTTCGGATGCTTAGTAACATAAGCCATAGTAAAAGATTTTTCTCACCTGCTTTCCACAGATATTTGTTCCAATGGCATGTGAAGTAGTTTTGCTGTATTACATAGCGTATATTGAAATATTCAGATAGGATATACTTCTACACAAGGTTTAGAGAGGAAAATCAGACCAAAGTTTCACAAAGTGATTTGGAAAGTTCCTTGGAATTCTTCTAATGATATCACACTGCTGCAGGTTCCTTCCCTCACGGAATAGGTCTACTCTCCTGTCAGTGACAGCCATTAACACCACTGTGGTGAAGCAGTTTAATTTTGTTTTATTCCCTGATTTAAAGTGCATGCTCAATTAAGAATACTCATTTATAGGAAATATCAGTTCCACTTGACATTAAATAAGGATCTGAATATCTATTTGGGGGATGACAATCGTTAAAAGATAATAATGATACCCTGACAATTATAACAATTAAAACCAGACTGACAAAGATCCATTTTCATTACTGAGGTCATTATCTGAGGTCTCGACTGTGAGATCTGCAATTCTAACCCACATAGGAGATGGAAGGAAAGGTACAGTCCAATCAGATGGTTTAAAAAAATACTATCTCTGATGTTAACACCAAGCAGATAGTTTCCAAATATGACGCAGAGTAGCAAAGGGGAGTTTAGGTAAACTGAGTATAATAGATAAAACTGGGAACAGGCAGCAGAGCCTAGAAGTCAAAATATGCATGTTTAACATTCGAATCAAGAAATTCTATGGAAACAATCCAAAGAGCTTCTTTTATTGTCCACAACCCAGATTTACTTCGGTGTGGGTTGTCAAGATTTGGAAACTTTTCTACTTTCTATCTTCTTCTCAGACTTTGCACTGCACAAATGTACTTGTGAAGGGAATGAGCAAATGTATTTGTGAAATGAAAACACATTATTTACAACTTACTTGAGCTTGCTTGCATATTTGAAAAGGTTGAAGAGTTTCTTGGTAAAAAAGCTGATGATAAGCCTGTAGGTCGAACCAAAAGTACACACAGTTCTTCCACAACTAAAGATGAAAAATATTGTAAGTTATTGCTACCCAAATATCACAGCTTTATAAAAGGTTGACTTTCCAATGCAAGTATTATTTAGCCCCTTGGGGTCATCATAAATCAAGCTCAATTTAAGATGAATTTAATCTTCTGTTGCATACTGGCAGAAGGACGACATATTTAACGGCATCATCACTGTGATACTCTTTTATTGTATCCTTTATGCATAATTGGCCATTAAAATCGTTAACATTGTAGTTAACATTTGAAGAGTAACCGCATTTCAGTGGCATAAAGCCAGTGCTAAAGAAGAAATGTTGATAATGGACATGCAGAGTTTGTGCCATGGTAAAATACCATTTTGCAGCAATAACCAAAACAATTAAATATTGTGTATTTGACATATGTTACTGAGACTATCATTACATTTTTATTACATGCATTTCTGAGACACAGAGTCTTGGCCTCATTTCATAAATTCGAACAGCAAAAGATCTTTCAGAAGTCTAGATCTTTCCCCAAGTCCTCTGTTTTAATCATGTGCTTATAGGGTTCAGACTTTAAAAATACCCTGAAACCCCCACGGCTAGCCAATAAAGAATGTGTTGCAAAAAGACATGGGTAGGGAAGTTTGCTCCACAAACTGCAGCCTTCCAGACCTGGCATATGATTGAAATATGCTCCACAGGTGAAGAGAAAACTTTAAGTAAATAATTTTCAAAGGAGTCTGGCACCTGCAAAGGCTAGAGGATATGAGGGCGGATGCAATGAAAAAGTAAGTTTCTTTTATTTAGATTTCTATCTATACACATTTAACATTTTTAGCTGAAGATATTCAGCTTTGGAAACATTGGCTCTTGTCTTGTAGTAGCCAAAGGCATTTCTAGCTACTGCTGCTGGATTCTGCATTGTGCCAGCGGTGAAACAGATGTCCATCTTGATTGCATTCAAATCTCCCCTAAAGACTCAATTTTTCTGCAAAGCCACTAAACACTGACTCAGATTCATCACTCGTTCCAACCAATCCTCAATTTACACCCAGCAATGAATGATGGATCTGCTGACTGCAGAGAAGAAATAGTGTTATGTTTCTCAGAAATCCAAGGAACTTCATGGAAGCAGAAGAATGTTTTTAAAACATTGGAGATTTTGGACATCACTAACCCAACAAGTAAGAAGGAAGCAGATTATCGTGAGTAATAGCATAGCAGATTTTCCATCTTTTTAAAAAATGTTTTTGTGGGTTAAGACCTCATTTTTTCTGCCAAGTTAAAGGCTAGTTTTTAAAAATTATTAGTCTTTTTTTTTATCCCTGATGGTACAATCAGAATTCCAATAGGTTTGAGACAGTGAGAATCTGACAGCTTGGTTAAGACCTGTCATTAGTTTGCATATACATATGAACAGTTTATTGTTGTTGAGGGATTGAAGTCTCACAAGTAATAATTCATCCAGTCATCAATCTTTCTTTCTCCATTTTTTTTTTTTCAGTCTGGCTGCCCTCTATAACTTGGCATTCAGTCAATTGTGGACTAAATTATCACAGAGTAGGAAAATGTTCATACCTTATTCCCTGACTTCTCACAGAATTCTGTGAAGTAGTAGCCTGCTCTGTTCTCCAAATAAAGAGACTGCAGCATGCTTTCCATTCTTGATCCCCCTAAGACAACACTGCCAGCAGCACTTTTCCCCTAGACAAATAAAACATAGTTATATAGCAAGGAATAACAGGCTTTCATTATTTTCAAATGTCAGTACATTGCAATGGAGAGCCATGCAGTGTGTTCACTTAGCATCTTCATCCCAAGAAACCAGACTCCATTTTCTACTACATACGCAATCTTAGCTGACGAGTTGTCTCAGCTCAGGCTACTGTGTTTTGAATTAAGACAACTTAACAGGTGGCTATTTGGTCAAGATTCAAAACATTTAACTATCATGGAACAAAAGATGTCTTCTGGGGTTACATCACTAACATCATCAACAAAATCATGAGCAATTCAGGGAGCAAGAAGTCCATGCTCTTTGCTGTGGCAAGCTCCTAGAGCATTTGAGGAAGAATACATCCATTTTGTCAATGCTCATAGAGAAGCCAGAAGAGGCTTCTGTAAGTAGTAAATTAGCTTCTGATGATTACAAGAGAGAAACTTTGGCTGACTTGCTGTCTCTGATAGCAGAAGTGGAAACAGATGAGTGTGGTGGCTGGCAACCAGCTTCTTTCCAAACAATAACAGGGATGGAGAAGGGCAGGAAGAAGCCAGACTTTTGAAGGATATTTTGAGGGATATCTACCTATCTGCTTCAAGCAGAGTAGGTAGATATCCCTTCGCGGTACGAAGTTGAACTACTAATCCCTGCATTCCCCTCTGCATTATATTTGTGATGGCAAATTGTGGGGTCCTGAATGTAAGTTCCAATCTAGCCCTGTAAGTGTAAATGGATGGTATTTTCCTCCCTCTGTGATGATGCCTAAAAACTAATAGTTCATGATGTGGATGTTTCCTGTATATACATTTCTAACTGAAAATGTCCCCTAATTGCAAAGACTAGCCTTTTGTTTCCTGTAAAAATTAACAAAGAAGTAAAATGAATGCAGTGAAGAAATAAGCAAAGTATTATATTGATGTGCAAAACAAACATTGTGCTCAAGTGCTCAGCAAACTCCATGCATATGTAAATGAGCTCAGATTTCATAATATGTTTTTTCTTTTAATTGTGAAGCCATGGGTATCAATACCACCATGAAATATCAGGTTGTTTTGAGACTGTTCCACAAACAAGAAAGGTTTTGGATATATTTTTGATTGCCAGATGTTGACATCTCACATGTTGTATTTGTCAGCCTTTTAACAGTTACTAAGAAAAGGCTCTTCTGCGCAGCCTGTCTCTCCTGAGGTTTGTTTGACTGAGGATCTGCTTAGCAGGCAATAATTCAACGAAGAAAAGAATGATATACATAAGCAATTAGGAGGGACTGTACAAATGAAATGTTTTCCTCTTATGAATGTTACTATTTTAATGACTTTGTAAGGCAGATTCAGTTTTCACTGTAAGTCTGGTATACTTCCTTAGGCAACAATTCCACTGAAGCATTTACCCAGAGTTCTCTAAAACAGCCTACTGAACACATGGTTACTATGGAGAAGATCAACACTTTCTAGTGAAAACAAACCTCTGTGTGTGCCATGATTTCCAGATTACCACAGAGAAAATGCTGATGTTCTAATTATACCTCTGCATAAAGCACTGACATCCATATAATCAAAATGATTCCTCCCCATTATTGACTACTTCATGTTTAATACTGCAGAATAAACTGTTTTAACTCATGATTCAAGACAACTTATATTTTCAAGTAGTACTCACACGGAGCAACTCAGCATAGGTGTACTTTCTATAACCCTGGTACCTTGAATCTTTGGTGCCATCCAAAGCTAAGCAATGAATCATGTCTGTGCTCACTGACTTTGACCTGGATCACAAACAAAAATTTTTCAATGTATATTGAAGAAAAATCTAGGACTGCTTATAAAATAAACAAATAAGAAGGGGCACAAAAGAGGTAGAATTAGACAGTGAATAGCTGAGGAAAAAGTACGTGGAGTTCAAATTTATAATAAATGGGAAAAAAATGTAGAGGAACACTTTTTCATGTGGCCTTGCGGAAATCACTGGCACAGCATGAATTTGAGAGCTAGGCTAGTCCTTGAAACAGGTTAAAAGAATATGAATGTATGTAGAGAATATCAACTATTACATAAGAGAAAATACTTGTATTTGGGGAAATAAACCCTTTTGTGGGTTTAGTTTTGTTTGTGGCACAAATGAATGAGAAAATAATCAGCCAGGGAGAAATTCTCCATGCATACAGTCTGTACTATAACTGTGCTTCACTAAGCAGATTATTGTATTAAAGAAAAGTACTCATGAAAACAGTAGGATCTAAAATACTTTCGTAAATATTTGAGGTATAATGGTGTGCAGAAAGATATACAAGGGACTTGTACTTACCACATTCTACTGCTAGGAATGTCATCCTGCTGGGTACTCTGACTTGATGTCAGGGAAGGTGGTAATCCTGATGATCTCTTCAAAGAGAAATTTGGTTTAGCTAGTTTTAATAAAGTTGTTGGTGAGTTTGTTCTACTTTTCTAAAAGACTTTACAGAAAACTAAGGCAATTTTGATTATTTTTCCAGCTTTATGTTTTCTTAAGGTCTTCTCATTAACTGCTCAAAAACATTCAAGGGTTTTCAGGACTGTTTTTCCTTGTCAATCACAATATATAAAACTTCAAATTGCAAAAATCTCTGAATATCTCTCAAGATTTCTCAGCATACCTTAATAACCACTATAGCTTAAAAATTACATTTTTAACAGGTAGAAATATGTTACATGGACTTAATATAAAATTACAGAGGATGTCAGGTAAGGGGCATGTGAACATGTTTTGTGAAAGTTTACAAAGATTATCTTATGTTAGCTCACTGTAAAATAGAAACAATCACTCAGACTTGGAGAGAAAGGGGGCATTCTGCCACAGCATCACTGATTATTTTGAACAAAATCATGACTTCTTGGAGATGCCAGGTGCATTCAGAGTGCCCTCAGAAATTCACCCTGAGTTGCTGCTCTTTCTAAGCTCTTGCAAGCACAGAGTAACTGCAAGATCCAAAAGTCAAAATTTTTTAAAGAAAAAAAAAATAGGAGCAAGAAATGAGCCATCTGCTGATTCTGTGAGGTTCATGGTGTCAGTTCATATTTTTTGGCAAGTGCTGAATTCAACAGGGGATGGAAAACCTGCAGAGTTAGGATCCTGTCTGCCTGACCTACAGCTAGTCCTGGGTCTTAGGACCACCTTGCAAAGCTGGAACTGGTCACTGTAAGACACTGGTGCTTCTTGCTCCCATTCTTGTTGTGAGCAACAGGAATCTAGCTCCTGAACCCAGTTTCTTCTGAACAGGTAATCTGTCACACTGTTTTCCTCCATTATCTCCATGAATTAGATTTCAAAGGAAATAACTGCAGCCTAAAACTATCCAACTCAAAGTAAGAGAGGTGTGTGTGTTAACAGATCTATGGAATAGCCCATTCAGTTCCTGATACTGGAACCACAGTTTCAATTCCCATTTTCCAAGTACCTTGTGTCCCAAGGCTTAACACTGTGTTGCTGAAAACCTTCATTGCAGTTACCTCTCACATTCAGGTTTTCAAGGAAGAAAACAGTCAAAACTAAACTGGCCACCTGCAAGCTACACACTGTGAAAAGCTCTGTGTTGTATGGCTCATAACCCTCTGCAGAAAGCAAAAACCACATGTAGTTCATTGAAGGGCTGTCGTGATAGAAAATGAGCAGAATTCTGCCCTCTTCACAGACATGAAGGATGGATTCAGGGTAACTGCAGTGAAGTTGTACAAATTACTCTGGATTAAGATAAGGCTGGTTCAAGGGCAGAATCTGCACTGCTAGATACTTAATTTTTCAATTCTGAGAATTTTCAGCTAAAATATCTATCCAAAGGACTTATGAAATAGCCAGGATGTAACTGAGAAGATAATGTGACTCCATGTATGGGAATTTGTTACATAACATATACTAAAATGTTATTGCATTTTTATATGTAATAATCTCCAATATACCAGCTTGCTAAATCTTGACTTCCTAACAACCAAGTACCATATTCTTCTTCCATTGAATTTAAGGAGTTTTGTCATTATTTTTAATGGATAAAGCTTTGGTTTTCAATGTTGTGATCCTACTTACCCGAAGAAGGGAAGGTTGTATCCCAGGTATGCAAGACTTTTGGGTCAACGGTAACAATGACACTATTTGTGGGAAAGGATCAATGTCCACCCTCGGTCTCTCTTGACATGTGTGCCAGAACTTCAGTTTTGCACTGGCAGCCTCTATTGCTGTTGAATGAGTGACACAAAATCTGGGGCCCCTAGGGAGAAAAATGCTAATAAGTAGAACTTTCCAAAACCATGAAACACTGGGCTATTTGGCTTCTTTTTTGGTTTTTTTTTCCAATGATGTCATGTACTGTATCAAGATACGGTGCTACATGCACCTAGAATTAAAAATCAGTTAGTGTTAAAGATATGTTTAGACACTGCACGCTTCCAAATTTAAAAGCAAAATATACATAAATATATATGCAGCATGACATAGTTGCCTTTCTATGAGTCTGCAGTAGGATATGCCTCATCCATCCTACAGCAAAGAATAGGATTGTAGGCCACAGCACAGAGACCACAGAATTACAGAATATTCTGAGTTGGAAGGGACTCACAAAGATTGAGTGAATAGTCCATAGAGGGATCTTAAGTGAATAGTCCATAGAGAGATCAAACCCACAACCTTGCTGTTACTACCACCATGCTCCAACCAACTGAGCTAATCTCAGAGTCACTGCAAGCCATATGAGGCTCCACAGCAAAGTTCTTAATTGCAGGTATTAGTTTATGCCTGCAATTTGTTGATCCCCCTCAGGGAGGAGAGAACATCTTCAAAAATTTAGCCTATGTTTTGGAAATAGGTTAGATTTTATATCCTCACTTAACTTGTAACTATGTAAAAGGCATTTTTTATGACAGACATTGAACACTAAAGTCTCAGTGTCAAATTCCACACAGACGTATATACAGAGCATCCTCAGAAATTTGAGAAGAGCAGTAAGGGGAATAGATTAGGACAGAATTAACCTTCTGTGCCTGGAGGGGTTTCCCTAGAGATTAAAGTTTAGTTGAGACACACAGAGCAGTGCAGATGCTCCAGCAGAAAAATACAAAGGGCTCAGTAAGGCAGATCTACACGGCGTTCCAGCAGATTGCAGTGTAGTTTAGGCTCAACTGAAAATTCACATGTTAGTACTTACAATGACATTGCTTCCAATAATTGCAATGGGATAAGTGAGATGAAATAAACTTAATAGGCTTCTCAAAGAAAATGGAAATTAGTTAAACAATAAAATTTTAATTCCTGTCCATTTATTCATACCAATAAAGAAGTAGAGGTTTCACTACTTCAGGCTGAATCTGTCTTAAATGCCGTATATTCCACTGATCTCCATGCAGTAGATCAAGCCTGAGTAATACTTCTGAACTGAGGAAATAGTCTCCACTGCTCAGCAGGTACAGTTTTTTCATCTTACTGAGATGCCTGCAGTCAACAAAAATAGTCACATAAGCATGTATCAGATGCTGTACAGAACTGAGTGCAGTTCATCCTACTGATTAAAGTGCTGTCATGCAACGTGTTTTTAATTGCAAGTGGCAGAAGCCAAAACAATTTTTCTGCAAATTAGAGACAGGTTGTGTATAAAATAAAATGTACAGTGCCTTAGAACAGACAATCTGAATCCAGCAGAGCCTTTCATTAAAGCACTTTGTCATACTGAATGCCCTACTTGTGAATTCAATTTCTCTTATTCTTTTTTTTTCTGTTGCCATCTGTTTTCCAAATCTCTGTCTGAAACAGCCTTAATAATATGGCGATTCTGACTTCCTGCAAGCTTTGCAAACCTGACTCTGCAAAAAGAGTTTTATCAGCTTCAGCAGAGTCATTCCAGACATACCTTGTCAGGACACTCATGATTACTTTAATTGTGTCTATTCTATTCAAACATTACAATTTACTCTGAAATCTCAAAACTTGCATTAATCTAGCTGGGTTACAAGTGTTAAAGCAATAGGGATAACTGTTAAATAATGAGAAATACCTTTGCTGTCTCGTAGTGTTCTTAACAGCCTTTAGTCTTTCAATATCCATCCAGAGCCACCAGTACCTTTCTCCAAGTGTTCCTTTAATGAACTTCTTGAATCTTTCAAATTCATGTCTGTTGCCAGTGTCATAAGTCCCATGACTAAGACACCAGGCAGCCCTGCTGTCTGGCCCACCACTTTCAGAACTTGAACATAAGCTTACTTCTTCGGGATCTCGTTTTCTTACATCTCTCTTGGAGTCCAAGGCAGTAAGTGGAGAAGAACTTTGTTTAAAGAGTGACTCTGCAGTACTACAGGCAACAATGTCAGCAGCTGGCTGGTGAGTCAGTTCTGAAATGGGTTCCTTCATTACAATTTGAGTAGAAGCTGGCATCAATTTTTCTGGTGTCTGAAAAGTTGTGCTTTCCTGTTCATTTTCTTCTTTTGCTGCACTGTCCCATTTTGGGTCTAGATAAACTCTAAACTGCGTGTGGGAAGGAGGTTCAGAAATGGCCACAGAAGAGCCCTCCTCAGCCTTGCTGGATCTCTCGTTATCAGCGTCAGCTGTTGTGGATGCAGTCCTCGAAGGGGAAAGGAAACTCTGTTGCTGGCATTCCTTAGACAGGGAATCTGCTTCTGCATTAAATCAGAAAAGGTCATTGAACACCCTTTTGATTCAGGACTATTCTCTTGCATATCAACATCGCCAAGTTAAAAAATGCAACATATTTATATTTTCCTGCTGCAGAACAATCACATTATGTCATTTTACAGAGGAGGGAATAGCAGAGGTGCTTCTCCCATTGCTATCTGCCTAGAAACTCAGCCCCATGACTCAGAAACTCGTTCCCTGTTGAATTCCAGCAGAGCAGCTGAGTTAGTTCTCTTGTTTGCTCAGCTAAACATCCCAGCTCCTCAACAACAGTTAACCACATTGATGTACTGCAAAGCCTGATTCCTTCCCAAGCATTTGGTCATAGTTTGATCAAAGCCACAGTATATAGCAGAATAGGGGTATTTTAGGCCTGAGGAAGCTAATAAATGATGATTCTTTATCTGCTTATGTTGATCCTGAGACTAGCTCAGTTGGTTAGACCCTGGTGCTAATAACACCAAGGTTGTGGGTTCAATCCTCATACTGGCCATTCACATAAGGGTTGGACTCAATAATCCTTGTGGGTCCCTTCCAACTCAGAGTATTCTGTGGTTACTGCAAATCAAACATCTCTGTCAGTAGGGTAAAATCTTGACATAGAAGGATGACCAAACAAATAACTGTGTCTAGGGCTCTGGAAACATTTAACAATCTTACAGTCCAGTCTGCCACCCAAAAATGGCTTCTTTTCATTTAGAGATGTTTTATAACTAAGAAGTTCAGAACAGTGACCAGTCCTGGTTTTTTGGTCTACACTCCTCTACTTAATTCCTTTTACCCAACCCTTCCTCAACCCTGTGCCATTAAGCACGCCATGCCATCCTGGTCACTAAAAAAGAAACTTACTGCTTTAACTTGCTTAAATATCTTTTCTGCTTCTGCCAGACTGTTAGAAAATTGATTTTTTCTGAAGGATGTTAGCAAAGATGACCTTGACTGTACCCACTGCTTAGCTAGGTTAATGCTGCTCTCACTGTACAAGTCAGTTCTGTAAAATTGAGCGGAATAAGTACAGATATCCTAAACAGCAGCAGAATCTAAGTGAAAGTGAAAAAAAAACCCCAAAGTCATAATTAAATTGAGACTCTACAATAACTTCATATCATCTATCAATACAGCATTTAAACTACAGAATAATCTGCATCTTCTGTATGTCACTAAAGCTAAGCTGTAGACTTTCACGCTCCATTGTATCACTAAGGCAAAACACTGTCAGTGAGGAGACTGCTACAGCTTCTGAGCACGTGCACCACATGGGGCTGTGAAAGAAAAGGGCTAAACCTCTCAGATCCACTAAATTCACATTTGTAATGTTATCAGTCTGTGTAACCTTCTATGGTGGTCTAGTCAATAAATGGCAATGGCAGTTAGACGTTCCTTTCAATTTCTTCCAAAAATAAGCCACATCTAACCAGTGCTGGTCACTGTCACAGACAGTCACTTGGATCAGGAACATGGCATAGAGATCCCCTCCTCTGCACATACCAAATTTCTTTAGTGTCTATGCAACAATATGTTGATACTAATATAAAAATCAATGTGATTAAAATATCTTTTCTTATTTCCAAACTATTTCAAATGTTTTCACTTGACAAAGAAAAATTATAGCTTTTCAACACAAGCCTATGAAATGGAAACATGGAGACCTGGGGCAATTGAGGGGAGAGATACACAGCTCTGGAGCAATAAAAAGTGAAGTGGTTCAGGGGTTGTTCAAGACTTAGTTGATAACCCTGATCCAACTGGAGCAATGAGAAAGGAATTTAGATTGGATTGTCCAAGCAAATACCTTCAGCTATTGAACTCTAATTGCAGACTGTGTCTGCAGAATCGTGCATTTGTGATCTCTCTATTCAAAGCACTGCCCAAAACAGCGGTAGAGTCATGAGCTCCAAACAAATGTGACTTGAATAATTTCATTAATAATCCATACATCAGCAATATATTTTCTGGGGTGATCCTCATGCTTTGGGGAAGAAGGCAGACTTCTGGAGTTATCATGTCTTCCAATTTTCCATTCAGCCATTGGACTCCAAGGTCCCAGCAGCACAAGTCTCAAAGTGGAATGGCTGCTTTTTTCCTCTGAGAATGGGGGAGAGAGAGAGCTCCTAAAATATGAGCTGAGGCTTCTCTGTTCATCGTGCTACTGCGTAAAAAGCAAAAGCAAGGCTGTGCAATCAGGTGTATGTCCATATGTGCATCTGTATGCATATCATTCTCCCAGAACCTCTGAAGCCTGTTAACAATTTTAGTTAAATTTGAAGATGGACAGGAATCCAAATGATTACATTTTATAAGCTTCATAAAAATTGGCAGTCAAAAGACTCTTAAGTGCCCAACATAAATACCCAAAGAAGATGGCTGCAACACAAATTATACATTATCAAATACCCAAAGAATCTAGACAAGGATATCTTTCAAAACACACACGAAATGGAAAAAACAAACAAACAAACACAGAAAGCCCTCAACTGAAACATATATATATATACATAGAAATATGTAAGAAAAGAAGCTACTACTATCACAAAATTACTTGGCTGCTAGATCAAATTTTCACCTAGTGTTGTAGCTACAGAAATAAAAAAATGCTGTTCTGAAGCCTCAGATACCATGCCATACTCAGAAGGTAATAAGAGGAATTAGCAACAATTCCTTGGAATGCCTTTTCTTTCCACCTAGTCAGAGTTGTGTTACAAACCATAGGGTTACTTGTTACTTACCCAGGAGGCTATCTTTTTCACTTAATGATTTGTCTCTTTCATGCTGAATATTTTGAATTTGACTAGAAGTTATAGGGTGTGTAGATGAATCTGTAGTTCTCGTGGAATCACCTTCTTTTGCTAATGTAAACCAATCTTTCACCTGAGAAACCGTGGCCTAGGAAAAGAAATGTGATAGAACAATTCAAATTTCTCTATTTATTGCACTGTTTCTGAGACCAGAGGGCTTACTGTCCATGGTGATTTTGTGCAGTCTGTGTAGACTTCTGTAAGGATAGTTGCCAGTGAAGAGAGCTGTATGATAGCAGCTGAGCATACTTGTAACACAGCTCCTGTTTAAGCTGTATTACAACACTCGGACCTCCTTTTATACTGCAAATAATTTTGAATATAAGAGCTATTCAGAGAATCATACAATCATAGAATGGTTTGGGTTGGATGGGATCTTAAAGATCATCTAGTTCCAACCACCCTGCCATGGGCAGGGAACACTCCACTAGACCAGGTTGCCCAGGAATCAGTTATCTCATTAGGTTGTGACCTCAGTTACAATAATTTTACCCAATGTTTTCAATCTGTCCTGATGTTACACCCAACTGTGTGTAATAAACACTAAATGTGTTTATTTTACCTGGCCAAGTGATACATAGAACTTCTTCATAGTCAGTGAAGTGTCGTGTTCCTCAGGATGGGGGGAACTTAGGTCTTGCTTCCTTATCCAGGGATAGTAGTCACTATCTATAATGAAATTCATGCCAGTCTTGCTCCATTCTACCTGGGATATCAATTTAGCTAGTCTGAAATTAAATGTTGAGATGAGGTAGTAGTTAATTTTAGCTCTTAATCAGAGAAACAGTTGATTTTTCCATAGAATAGGTAATTAAAAACCATGATCCATCTAAAAATAGAATTTTTACAGAGAACTTCATATCTGCTTTTTTCCTAGAGTAATAGAATTATAGAATATCCTTATCTGGAAGGGACTTACAAGGATCACTGAGTCCAACTCATTATTTCAGCCTTCACCTGCTCTTACATATGTAAATACCAGTACTGCCAATGTATAGTTCACCAGCTTTACAGGGTTTGCATTATCAAGCTTTACCAGTAAAACTGACTTCAGTCAGGATGATTTTTCATGTATCTATGCAGTCTCAAGCCCTGACAAGAAGTCTTCGAACATTCTATTCACTAAAATAAAACTACTCTCCCAGATTGCAGAAGCCCTGTATTACCACCAGACCCTACATCTCCAGTTCCTGATACAAACATTCTTCCAGCAGTAATGCCACAGCATTGATCATACTAATTGAACTTTCAGACAATACCAAGACAGCTGGCACTCTCATGTTCATCTGGCTGCTGTATGAGGATTTCACAGTACTGAGCAGCACTCCAGTGCTACCTCATGTTAGTGTGAACCTGGTGATGTTCAGGAAAGGCAACCTTAGAATCACACGATGATAGTGAAGATGCTCTGAGCTCAAGAACTGGGGCAGAACTTAATTAAGTTAGAAAGAAGTACATAACCATAGAAAGACGAAGCCTATGCCTGAGCCTACAACCAAGTGAATACCCAGTTGCATTTGTGCTCACTACTTGAGATAAAATAGGATTTAATTCTATGGTTGGAGTGTCTTCATCTTTAAATGCAAGTTTCCCTTTTAGCATCTAAATTTATCCTGATTCTGATTCAGGAAAGCGTTCGAACCACTGATGGCAACTGAAATTACGTACATGTGTTAAGTTAGTTTTATGTAATTCTCTTGGGCAACTCTGCTTGATCAAATAAATAGCTTGCTATAGCAGAAGACGAAAGTTAGTGTTTCATGAGGCCGAGATATGTACAAAGCAGCTGCTGCTAAAGGTAAAATGGAACTTTCTCATGTTTTCCTTGTTCTTTGCACACTTTTCCCCTTGAACTTAAATGCAGTCATCAGGTTATAGAAAATAAAAAACATTTTGAAATTTTTGCTGTAGAAGTCTATTCCCCAGTAAGTAACCTGTCATTATAATCAGCAAACAGGAGTTTTGTAAACCATACTGCCAGCCTGCCTCTCCTTTTGGGCCCCTGAAACACACTACAGTTAGCAACATCTAGACTCAACCTTAAGGGATACAGAGGTAGATCCTCCCAAAAAGCACAGGAAACCTCCTGAACATCTGCTGAAAGGACATCTGGAAAAATATATAACAGTTTATAACAGTAAATCATCCAGCTATGCCATGGCATCCCACAGAGAACTTTGCTAAAGGAACTCTGACAGTGGGCCCAAAGACACAAAACTAATAATGGAAATGAAAAGGACTCAGTGCTTTTTCCAAATGGATTTCATGGATTCATAACTCCTATTTATATGGTTTACATATTGATTAAAAAAAGATGCATTGCTACCATGATATCTCTGAGGAACAGCAATTTAGAAATCAGTAAGTCCCCTTCTTACTCTCTTCATAATGGTGAAGTACAGGATGTAATTCATGGTCAAGGAAAATCACAGAATGACGAGTGAAAAAAGTCACTGAATTTATTTTATCCAGATCACTAAAATGCTAAAATAAACAGGATGAGAGGAGGGCAAAAACTTTTTAAGAGTACTATCAAGATTAATTAAACAGAAGAGGATAATGTACAAATTTAAAACTGAAAGAGAGCATAAAAGATTGCAATACCTGTATTCAAAGTAACAGTCACTCCCTAGAAATGCTGGAAGCCTTTCTTTCTTAATCCACTGAATCGCTTGTTCTCGATCAAGACACTATTAAAAAAGAAATGCCAAAATTTGCAGTACTCCTGATTTTCTTGTTTTGTTTGCCATGTAACTGCTTCTCTCCATCCCCCTTCAACAGAAGCATTGTCTCGGTAAGATAAATATACAGTGAACATCATCTTCATGCTGGGACAATTGAGCTAATTTACTTTCCTATTAAAAGCTAAAAAGGTCTAAATCTGATTTCACCTATTAGAGTACAACTTCTGTAACAAATCATGAGTGTTTCTTCTTCAGAAATAATTTCTGAAGAATTGTGCTTTTACTGTACAATTCCAAATGCAAATTAAATGTACATAAATTTTCCACAATAGGAAATTGCTAATTTTTCTGACTTTATCACATTTTATAACTAACTATTGCATTTTTCCTCTAGAATTTGAAGAGTAAGAAACCCTTAAATTAAGTTATATTCCCAGAATGACAGAGCTGTGGATATTAAAAACAAAATCAAACAAATAGAAATCCAATCAGTTACCACCTCTTGCATTTTTATGTTTGATCATTGCAAAACTGCACTGCACACAGCAATTCTCATAGTGGAAACCTAAGTGTCTTAGGACCTGGAGCCACCACAGATTTCTGCTCAGGCAGCCTGAGCCTCAGTGCCTCATAAAAGCAGAAAGGAAAGTGCCTCCAAAGAGTGGTTTGGGGAGTGAAAGGGAGTGTTGAGCAGCAAGCTACACAGAGACAGTTAACCAAAAATGTATGTGTAGGAACTTACACAGGGAGAAGGATCTCTGACCATAGGCCACAGTGTTCCATATCGGTTTCCCTTAGAAATGACACACAGCACACTTTAATTTTTTTTAATAGCATACTTTTTCCACTCTTAGGCGATGACCTCTTTTATTTATCTGAGGCTTATTTTTCATTTTAGTGAAGGTGAGATTAATGATTTTGAAGAATGCAGTAATCATCCTTGTCCATAAAAACAGGTGAAGTGTGGGCAAGGATGGATGCTACTTGCTATATCAAGTAATCAGTTTATGTAGATCACAGCTTAAATTTTCTTTCTATGAGCTAATATTCCATTAGGGGCAAGGGTTATTTCTGCCTCATATATATCTGTAGGGGATTAAAAAAATCTGAATTACTCAGAAAGTGGGTGGTTTCATTTAGAGAGAAGAAAATATTTCAAAATACGGAAAGCTTATGTTGGCAGTGGCTCATACAATGTAATTTGTAGAGATGGAGACCAATTACTCCCAACCACATAGTCTATGCTTCTTTTTGGCAATTGACAAGCTTTTTTGAAATACAGAAGATAGTTTCTTTATTTTGGCATTTAATATTTATGTATTTACTGACTTACAGCCTAGTTTTTTATCTGAATGATTCATAACATACGTCTGTAAATGGCTGGTACACAAAGTTATATGTAATATCAGAAGGAAAGAATCTCTGCTCTTTCCCTATCCCCAGAGAAAGATGCTACATTTAATCTGATGGGGTTTGTTACCTTAGTTAGCTTCCTTACCCAGTCAGCCTTAGGCCTTGCTAGGACCCAATCCAGCAAAGCTTTTAGCACGTGTTTAAGTTTAAGCATGTGTTTAACTTCCCTTGATTAAAGTTAAACACATACTTAAGTGCTTTGCTGAACTGGGGTTTCTCTGAAGTAAGATATGTGGGATGCCAGCCAGTTTCTCTCCATAGTTGTGATCAATTCTACCCAACTCCACAGGTTTTTTTCCTCAATGCATTTTACACAAAGCTGATTTTCACTACTGATGAGAAGATACTTACTTCCATATCAATGATTTGCAAATGTGCAAGCACACGTGCAGAGAACTTTTGCTTATCTGTAAATTTGTAACTGTCTGAGAGGGAAGTAAAATACAGAGCAAAATACCACTGCATGTATTTCTTAGGCAAGATGCGCTTAAATTCAGGCTGTACCCTGAAAGGCCTACTAGGACTTTCCAATCATAGCTCCTTTTCATACGTAACCTGCCAGTGATGGCCACTCAAGGTGACCTTTTGTAAGCAATGTAACATTCAAAGCAACTGCCATCTTTTTGGTTAGTGTGAAGAAGGCAGCCAAAGCAAACCAGCCAGCATCACCCGATGCCTGAAAGATCAAATCCTATTGGATTTGGACTGAACTACTTGATGTAGTTGGTCTGGGGTGGCTTCTTCTGGATCAGCCACTGTAAGGAGTCAAAAATAAGAACAAATATCACCCTTTCCCACCAACGGAGAAGAAAGGGTACTGAGGCATACTGCTCCTCAGAAGGCCATAATGCTTCCCCATTTATGGAAAACAGCCCAGAGGAAGAAACAGATTCTTAAATAATGCAGAAGCCCTGTTGCTCCAAACCACATGAAAGATAAAAGTAACAGTGAAATGGCTTTGAATTTGTCAAGAAAGGCCATGCCCAGTGGCAATGATGTGAGGTTATCCAAGAGGCAATGTTAGCAACACTTGCACAAGCTCACAGCATTTCCTCAGTTTAATGCTGAGAGCAAATAAGAAATTGAGAACAGCTCTTCTGCCTTTGTGCTCCCAAGCAAAGCATTTGTGAAAAAAACTATTTCACATGGTAGGGATGTCTGTGGGCCTTGTCCTTTTGTAGCATTTGTCCAGTTTCAATGCAAACAATTGCAAATCACATTAGTATCATTTTGTTAAACAACATTGCCTTTTGACCTCTCTCAACACTGTTTCCTGAAAATCATTAAGCTTATGCTGGGCAAAGCAGCAGTTTGTTACAACTCCCTGCTCTTCTCTCAGCTTTCCAGCTATGATATAACTTAGAGCAGCCACTGCTAAAAATGTAGCAAGACCTTGGACTGGCCTTGAGTGAAATGATGTCATGTCAGTCACATCCACACGAGGTAAGCAAAAAAGGAATAAACCAAGTATCCTAGTGAAATATTTAATTTCCTCCAAAGCTACTGTTTAAAGGTAAACTCCCACATCTAATTATACCAACTTGTGTTCTCTCAGGTGCTTCGACTCCTGATTTTAACTTGCCTAATTTGGTGCCGAAGAGACGCCCTGAAAGTAGGCAGGTAAAAATACCAAAATTGATACTGTCTAAGCAAGTATGAAACAAGATTTTTTTTCTAAAATCCAACCCATCTTTCCATTAATTTAGCTTTCTTGTTGCCAACAATTATTTTTTCTGGCCATTTGAATTGATGTTAACTATGTAAATCCTTTGGGAATAAATGGAAGAGAGACTTATGTATTGCCAGACCACAGATGAGCTCATAGCCACACAAGGAAATTAATTAATAAGGAAAGACTGAGCTGCATTAGTTTCAGTCAATTTGCACATTCCAGGGATCACTAGTAAAGTAACTGTTGTCATAATATTTTTTCTTTTAATATTAAAAAGTATTCAGACCACACAGCTGAATCCTGCCCTACAGAATCTTCAAAATTCTGTGCTACAGGATGTACATCTGTAATTCCATTTACTTGTCTGCTAGACACGTGCATTACAGGGCATAATTTGGCCCATCATTATGTTTTCCTAACATAAATTAACATTTTTTTCCCAAGCTACCAAGCCAAACACAACAATAATTACTGCCAGTATCTCTACAGTAAGATCTAAATATAAACTCAGGGGCTATAAGATGCTTACCATAGTGTTGTAATTTGGATCCATATTGAAGGCTGGAGAAGCACTGTGCATTTTGGAGAGCTGCCCATCATTCTTTGCTTTCCTTAGAACATCATAAATGGGATTTGGAGGTTTCTGATCATGTAGATTTTTTTTCAGCTGGCTTTCCAGGCATCGTGGGGCATAATTAACTACTTCAAAAACCCCAACATCTGAGTTAAACTTCACTGGCTGGGCAAAAGTCTACAAAAGAAGTTTGGAAAGTTTATGACATTGTAATAAGGGAATTCTCATTTAAGAAAGTTACTTTTTATAATATAGAGGCATCCTACAGAATACAAGCTGGTATTATGAGGCTTCTTTCTCTTGGGGCCTGGAATAGTATTTTTTCTGTATATTTGCTCTTCAGTCTTTTTGCCATGTAGCTTTCCAAAGCATTCCTACTTTTTCTCTCAGTTATGCTTCATTGTAAAGAATTTAAAACATTCTAGATCACAGGCAATTCTTTTTCACATGCAAATAATAGATCCAGTACAAGAATATCTATGATATGTAATTCACGGTGACTTTAGTAACTGTTCTGCAGGAAACAACTTACCTACAGGATCAGATTTCCAGTGTTATTCTCGCATTTGTTATCACCAACAATCAAGGCCTGAAAATATTAGCAATGAAGCTGATCTTTTAAATCTGAGATGCATTTGAGGAGGATAAATCTGAAGAGTTTCATACGTAGGAAAGGCTTTTCACCATGTTGTTACTTGTAGGTCAAACAACTACCAAAACCCATGGCCTGCAGTAAATTTTATTATACATCTCACTAGTTCAGTCAGATACTGCATAATATGGGAGACAGACCCATACTCAACTTCAGCTATGCAATTCTGACTTTTGTCAACTCCAAAAACCCACTGCATATGTACACACTAAATCAAAGCCATCTTTCATCTTTAAAGATCTGGTATTAGGTATTTCCCTAAAAAACTATCTTTCAAGTACACTTACTTGAAGAGGGAAAATACGGATGGATTTTTCAGAAGTAATGGAGGATACCCAAGACAGTTCTGAATATGAGATTATATACAATCAGAGCATATAGGCATCTCCACACTCAGCTGGAAGACGAGAAGGCATGTTGTATTTAAGGACTCAAGAAACTATTGGCCACATCTACATCTAGAGCCAAAATTCATCTTGGCTTCACTCCAGACAGGATCCCACCTGGTGTTTGTACAGTTGTCATTCCTCTGCACTTAATAAGATTATTTTATTTTTTCAAACACTGTATTTTTCATTTCCTTGAATTTTTTCATATAGCACATATAGGCACACATAGACATAATTCATAGACATAGTCCATATGCTGAATACATGTTACATATAATATAGAAATATATTACAGACCAATTTTATTCTTCTTCACACCTGTATAAACCCAAAGTAATTATGCTAGCGTCAGCTATTTTGTTGCTTCTGGTTGAAGCTCCCTTGTTGATCAACGTCTTGTAGAGCAATGCCCAGAACCATGTGGCTGCAACATGTGGTTTTAACATTCCCTACTTATCCCATAATGTCTCACTGTGGAGGCTCAGCCTGGCAAAGCACAAAGCAAGTGAGAGCTTTAAGTGTATGATTAGTGTCTATGACATCAGACCGTCACTGCTCAGAGCCGTGCACTGACTCGCACAGGTCTGCTCAGTTACCTAACTTCAGCAGAAATCACACATTGATTTTTGTTCTCTGACACCTTGTGCCTCTTTTGGCATTAGTTTTCTCCAGCGCACTCTGCATCTGTTTTTTTCTCCAGATGTACTGAACAGCATTTTAAAAAGCCTTCTATGTGTAGAAGATTTCTCTACATTCAGACCTCCTCCCAGTTTGCTACGTGTATATTTCGTTTACTTTCAAACCTAATTTGGTCTGCTACCAACTTTTAAGTGACTAACTGTGCAACCTTAATAGCCTCCAAATGTATTCTTCCCTATTTGTTTTCTCATGTTTTTTAAAAAAGAAACAGAAGAAAGTGCACTAAGAAACATGGTAGTTCAGTCTCTTAGGATTCGAAATGCTCTTGCTCACAGAAAAAATCAAACAAAAGGCAAATTTTATAATATATGTCTATTATAAAATGGTCTATACATGACCAGATTATTTATCTATATAGATTAATATCTATAAATAATATAGATTATTTATCTATATAGATAAATATATATCTATCTATATTTATCTATAATCTGGTCTATACATGACCAGATTATTTTAGTTCCATGCTGTTCAAACTAAAACTGAAGCAAATACAATATCAGTTTATTGCATGCATCTACTTTTATTTAATCCTTTGTAACTTACTCTAGATCTAGGTTTTTTCAATACATATTCTAGTTAGTGGAACAGAAAACTACAGCAACTTCAATGTAGCGAAACAGATGCTAGTGACAATTTTTAAAATCTAAAGTGTATTGCTATTTTGGGAGTCTTACTACCAACCATTTATAAGACAAATATACTAATGGAGCAGAAGAACATGCACTGAAGGGATAGGAAGGTTAAGAATTCATACACTACATACTTGACTAAAAAAGGTGGTTCTAAGTCCAGACTTTTGGGTACTGGACTAAGATGTAGTTACACATCCCCAGGGGCATCAAAAGGCATGCATATGTCTTGTATCAGTCAGAGAGGAGGCAGTAAATTTGACACTATAAGGCTGCATCTGGAATATTGCATCCAGTTTTGGGTCCCGAGTACAAGGAGGATGCTCCCATACTCAAGTGCAGCAGAAGACCACTGAGATGGTCAGAGGCTGGAGCACTTGCCCTGTGAGGAGAGGCTGTTTAGCCTGAAGAAGAGACAGCTCTGGGAAAACCTAGAAGCAGCCTTACAGTACTTTTAAGGAGATTACTGAAAGATGGAGCCAGGATTTTTATGCAGGTGCACAGTAGGAGGACAAGAAACCATTCATAGAAAACAGCAGAAGTCTGAACTGGATTATAAGAAAAAAGGTAGTTGTGGCATGATTAGCATTGGAACAGGCTGTCCAGAGAGATTATAGAATCTGTTGTTGGAAGTTTTCAAGACCAACTGAAGTACGTGCCAAACAACCTGGTCTCAATACTAAAGAACTGACCCTGCTTTGAGCAAGAAACCAGATTACAGACTTCCCCAAAGCCCCCTCCAGACTGAGTGATCTATGATTCTGTACAAATTCCAAATTCTACCCAATAGAGCATCTCTGTCTCTCAAACTAACATATAAAAGCATTTTGGAATAGATAAAACCTTTCTGGAAAAGCAAATTTCACTTGCTTACTTAAGAAAACTAGAATGAGAAATCAGAATGTTTTTATAAGCATAATAAAAGAAGAGGTAATTCCTGACCTTTTTAACTCATCACCACCACAAGTGATAATCTTATGACAAAAAATCAAATAGAACATGCAAAAAAAACCCCAAAACCTGATTTCTCATAGGAAATATTTTACGAGTTGCAGTGCAGGAGAGAGGATCAGACAATCAATTTTCCCTTCAGTATGCAAAGAACTTTGGAGCAAAACACACAATCTAACCATTCCCACACATTACAAGCCACAAAAAAAAAATCCAATAAAAAACTGTTCAATTTTCTATAGCAAACTTTAAACCTTTCCCACAGAAGCCAAGTGCTGTAAAATCCTTCAGTGTTTCATGGGACAATAATAAGAAAGGTTTATGGCACCACCAATATTCTAGGTCATTGCAATAATGAGGAATCTCTTCAGTGAAGATGGAGTGGATGAGAGCCTGTACAAAAAAGGAAAGGGAAAAAAAAATCCATTCCAATCTAATATACTAAGAAATGTCTTTCTTACTCCACATTTGGCAAGTGCTTTGGCTTTTTAAGGACAAGTAAAATACACTAACAAAAGACTAAGTGTATCATTCTCTCTAATTTGGGCCAATTTTCGATGCTTTGAAGATAAAGGGGAAAACTCCAGAGCCAAATTATACCTCAAGATGTTAAGAAAAAATATTTTAGGTTTGGCAGGAGCCTTGAAGTTTGGGATTCCTACATTATCAATTTAGCACAATAAACAGGATCAAGGACTTGAAAATGCCAACAAATAAGAAGTCTACAGACTTTGCAAACTGTTTTACTCACAGACAATTCTCCTCTTGAACCCGGTATGACCAATGTAACTCAGTGTAGTAAACTCAAGTTCAGAAACAATCTCCAAGCAAATAAAAAAAAGCTGTTTTCAGACTGTGGTACAGCAATACCATTAAATAAATAAACAATTGTATGCACTTTTTTGACAGCAAAAAAATTTCTTAGCTGTCAAACACACATTTAATATAGTTTCAGCTGAATAATAAACAGAATACATAACTCTGAAACCTGAAGTTATACACTTAACCGAAGGCAAGACAAATTTCTCTCAGTCCTCCCACAACAGAAACCAAAACAGCATCCATCACCATGTTGCCAGGATATCAGACATATAAATCTCACTGTTCTCTGTCTTAACAGTTTTCAGATATACTTAACTTCAGATACCATTAACTAGTGTGTAAATATGCTCACCCCATTTCAGACCCAAATAACATAGTTTGATCCCAAGAGAAACAGAATGACCACAGCTTGGCTGCTTCTTAGATTAAGGGTGGGAATGAATAGAGATTTCACCCAGGAACTTTGCCAAAACTTCCTTAAGACGGGTATGTCTGTATCATAAAGAAATGTCAGTGAGAGTCCAGACCAGAATTTGAGCAGCAATGTGAAGTGTCTGGAAAATTCACACTACACACGGTCAATACAAATCTCCCATTGACTTTAGCAACTTCAGCCTTTCCCTTCTGCTGATGAGCAAGACAAAAGTCACAATCACATATCACAATCTAATTAAGAGAGAAGAGAAGAATATTTCCAGTAAACATACTATCAGTAAGAAATTAAGTCAGGAATGCTTCATTTGCTTCCTTGAATGTCAAAGACATGAACAAGTTTTAGTCCTGGGTAAGTCTCAACATAACATGCACGTAGGGCCTTACTTAAGACAAAGCCTTTTTCAGGGAGGCATCTGCAGCCTCCCTCCACACACCTGGAGAAGATAAAACTAATGTGCATGCACTGATGCCTTGATTTGATGATTTGATGCATGGAATTATTCAAAGTCAACTTCGAAACAGTGAAGGGCCTGAACTGTGCAGTAGAGTGGATTGCTTTTTTGCTTTCTGCCCTTTCTGTCATCTGCTACTCATAAGTCAGGTCTGGTTTTATTCTTGACAGCACTAGGTTTTCAGGACCATTCTGTCTTCAGAAAGACAGGCCCAAGCTTTGTTACTTGGACTTTAATTGTTTTCAGAATCATCACCTGCAGCAAATGCTGGATCCCAGACTACTTGGTGGAGAGCTTTTATAGTGAGAACAACTACCAAAAGAAGTAGTCTTCAAATCTGAGGTTGATAATATTGTGGTCACTTGGCAGATTACTGCTGCTAGGGAAACCAACAGCCAGGGACTTGCAACCAAAGCATCATCTCCTGGATGTGCTTCAACTGAGGCTCAGTTAGGTATTTTGTCTCTAGTGCAACAATTTGAGGTTTCAAAGAGGAGCAGCATGCCTCCCTTAGGATCACTGCTAACTGGAAAATGAGGGGTAAGACCCCAGCATGGACTTGGGGTGGAACAAGCAGCAGGCAGCCTGTAGAGTGCAGGAGAAACAAGCTGACATTACTACGCTTGCTTTCAATGCTGAGCTTGGATGGCAATTTCTGACTTCTGAATTTTCACTCCTGACTAAACATATTCTTGGATGTTTTTAATACGTGGATCAAAGATTCAAATTCTAGGGCTGCCTGACCACCAGTAATGGAAATGTATCAAGGCCAATGTTTCTCTTAAATCTTTCATTTTACATTAGTTACTAAGGAAGGTGTAACTCGTTTGTGTGTCATGTAATTGGTTTCTGCTACTGTGAAATCACTGTATTACTGGCAATAACTGCCCTCCCGAGGTTATTTGTATTACATCTTTCAGAAATATTTCTGTACAAACTATCCTTCATTACAGTATGTAGATCTTTGGAGTACTTAGATATTCATGTCAGATTGTATTAAATATCATTATAACAAGTGGATCACTTAAAGGATACACTGTAAATCAAAGCAAAAAAAACCATGAAAAATCTGCTGCTGCTATAGCAAGTCCCCAGTGATACAATTTTCCGTATGCTAATGGTGCCTCATAAATCAATGCAGAGGCAGCCTCTTAAAATAAGCATATGCTACCCCTGCTTTCTTGTATCAAGTCACACAATATTTTCAGTTTAACTTGTTGCCTAACTACTAGCACACCTGGGTAATACTGTTCCCAGGCAACAGCATATAAGCACAACAAGAATAAAGCAATGGAAATTTCAATGCAGTGTTTTAGTAGAAGCCTTCTGAGAAGGAGAGGAAAATTGGGAATGTAAGGTATTCAAACCACAGAACTCAAGGCATTAGGAGAACTTAATCCTGAAGAGGGTAAATACTTAGGAAAAGATCAAAGAGAAAATAAAACCAATTATGAGAACATTACAGTTAAAAATAGATAACAGAGCATCTGTTTTCACGAAGATATGTAAATATGTGTAAGAGAGACCATGTGTCATCTTAGAAGCTACCAAGATTACCAGCGTAAAATAGTGTTTACCCAGGAGTGACTGTGAACTCTTTTCTGTGGGCTTCAGAGCCATCAGGAGTGCCTGGACAATTGCTGCGGTTTAGAGCTGCTGAGCTGCGCCAGGACTGTGGGCTGAGGAGTCCTCTGAGGCCAAGGAGAATTTTGGCCTCTAACAGATGTCCTGAAATCTGTTCATGTCCAAGGATACCAAGAGACCAAGCAAGCTGAACTTCTTACCCACTCCGTCCTCTGAGATTCGGGGAAAACTTGAAGCATAGTTTCCAAATAAGCAGCAAAGGCATAAAGGATGGTATTCCTGTGCTAAGAACAATCTGGCACATGGAAGGAGGCCTGGGTTTAAAAGCTAAGTAGTTAGGCTTGGATTAGTCAGATATCATAAAGCAGCTGCAGGGGGGAGGTGGAGGATGTTGGAGAAAGAAAAAGCCCCAGCCCCTCTCACCACACACTTTCTTCCATCTGTGTCTCTCCAGCTTTGAAAAAATTATTCTTAGGAATCTTGCAGTGTGGTGAAAGTACGTAAAGGCTGAGCTCCTGAGAGAAGTCAGTATTGGTGCTGTGCACAAAACCCACACATCTGAGTATCTTCAGATTCTATTTTAAGCTTAAAAATTGGCATGGGGAGCCCATTCTATCACCTTTAGTTGTGCAATTTCCATTATATGTGTTCATTTACACAAATCTGTGATGTGGCTTAGAGAGCACAGCTATGTCTAGTTCAGTTTGGTAAGCCAAATCATTCAGTTATGAATCATAACTGAATTTATTTCATTAATGGCTGCACCAGAGTATGAGGTCCAAGGAGCATCAAGAAACATTCTGCCCCTTCCTAACACTGGTGGTGGTTCCTACCAAGCGAGTTGCAGGAATGGGTGTATGTTCTTGTAGTGTAGCCTGTTGGACTGCAGTGCCTTAGGAGGGGGACAGGCTCTGGGACAGCTCTGTGGTACATTGGGTGGGAGCCACGAGTGACACTGTGGAAAACCTGTGCCACTTGGCAAGGGAGTATGGGTGTAAAGTGTGGGGATGAAGAGAATGGGGATAGTCAAGGCCAAGACTACAAAGATGAAGTTGGATGACGTTGCCATATTGAAGGAGCAGGACCATATATTTGACTCTCAGGACAATGTGGGGAGGTAGTGTAGTTGATGGGGAAAAGGAGCAAAATATAGGGCAACTAGTTAAAAACAGGGCACTGGATATGGTAGTCTAACTGTAACTGGATCAGCACACAGAATATAGTGTAAGCCTGCACACTTCTAGCTGCATATGGGAGAGGAAGAGGAGGGAAGTGCCAACTTTGAGGCCTTCAAAGCCGTGAATAGAAATAGAGTTGGTTTTGAGCTTAAATGTATATTAATCACTGAGTGCATTGCCACAAGATTGTAAAAGGACAAACATTTGTTATGTCATCATGATGTGATACTCAAATAGAATTGGACTCCTTATACTTTTAAAATAAGTATTTATGTGTCTTTTTCATTTCCTATTCTTATTATTTTAGTGCACTGTGATCTAAATAAATAATTAAAAGCATAAATTTAAATACATAAATAACCTGGGGGTCCTGGTGGACAACAAGCAGTTCATGAGCCAACAGTGTGTCCCTGTGGCCAAGAAGGTCTGATGTACATTAGGAGGAGCACTGCCAGCAGCTCGAGGGCTCCTCAGTACAAGAGAGACATGGAGCTCCTGAAGGAGGTCAGGCACAGGGTGACAAAGACGATTAAAAGACTGGAACATCTCTGTTATGTGGAAAGGCTGAGGGAACTGGGCCCATTCAGCTTCAAGAACAGACAAATGAGAGGGGCCCTTATCAATGTGTGTAAGTATCTGAAGGGATGGTGTCAAGACGATGGAGCCAGGCTCTTTTGGGTGGTGCTGACCAATAGGACAAGAGGCAAGAGGCAGAAACTGATGCACAGGAAGCTCCACCTGAACATGAGGAAGAACAACTTGCCTGTGCGGGTGACTGCACACTGAACAGGTTGCCCAGAGAGGTTGTGGAGTCTCCCTCACTGGAGATATTCAAGAACTACCTGGATGCAATCCTGTGCCATGTGCTCTAGGATGACTGCTTGAGCAGGGAGGCTGGACCAGATAACCCACTGTGGTCCCTTCTAGCCTTACCCATTTAGTGATTCTGTGATTCTTTAGCTTAGCAAAATAAAATCTGTCCTCAGAAGTCCAGATACTGTGCTACTTTTCCTGATACTGATAACACTGAGCAGTAAGAGTTGCTACCATTGAAAACACAGACATATTGTAAAAGTCATTTAACTAGCAAGCAGCAAAATGTAAAATTTTCTAAGATGGATTAAGTCACTCTTAATTTTAGTATGGTGTTTCTTGACTTTTGCAAGGGATTTCTGTAAGGTACTTACCGGAAGACTCAAAAATTCATTAAAGTAGTCCACAAGCATATCATCTGTGGCTAAGCATTCTTCCTACAGAGAGACAAAACCACAAAGCAAGGCTTGTAGTAATCTGTGCTAACATGGTTTGAATGCACTATTCCCTCAAACAATGTTTTTTTCATGAGATATGACATGGAAACTTTTGCAAAATATTATTTCCCACCTTTGAGAATATAATCATTGCATCACTGTTATTTGCAACCATTGCACACTTCTGAGATCCTTAGCAATTTAAAAAACACAAAGGTAAATCCTATGTCAATAAATTTACAGATAAAGCCTTCATAAACCCAACAGCTTGTAAATGCTGAAAATCTGGATGTTTATTTTTGAAAAAATGTGCATAAGCTAACAGTCTAGAAATTCCCTACATTGTACCTTTCTCTCTTTCACTTGGAAAAAAGGGGAATTCACCCAGGGCCACCAGGGCCACCTCCTGGTCTCGCACTGCTGCTTGGGGATGTTTGGGGAATAAAAGGGAGTTCCCTGATTTATATTTTGGCTTAACAAGCAAGCCGTGTATGCCATACTTTGAATCTGACAGAACTGGGAGGCTTCCTGTTGATCTCATTAGAAGTGAAGACTGCACCTGCAGATGTTTTTGTATCCTTTCTGACCCCTGCATTTTAAATCCTGCTAACAAGACTCAAAAAATTTTGAATAGAAATTTAATTTTTTTGCTGTTGACAAACCCAAAATTATGGATCCAAATCTTACTTCTACTGTACTCAACACCATCCTCATTTCAATTCAACAGAGGGTAAAAGTAGAACATTATTCCATTGGTTTCAGATATGTGTCTTCAGTATAATGAAGACACCTAAATTTTTTTTATAGTTTCTAGAATATTCTTATTTCTGCCTTGCAAGGCAAAGAAAATGCACCTGAATCTGATGTATTTGCCAACATCAGCAAAGGTCTTGTGACACAAATCTTTTTTCTCTTTCTTAAGTTCATAGCACTAGTGAGGAATAGCACTAAAGAGAGTTTATGCACGGTGTACATGGTATCAAGTGTAGGCAGGCAGTATCTTGATCTAAACCCCATTGGTATAATCAGAGACAGCTCAGGCTCAGGTAAGGAAGAAATCTGAGCTAACATACTTTAATATGAACTCAGGAAGGCTCTTGTTTGCTGCACAACAAGTCAGAACCAGACCTGATGGTTTTTGCCTGGCCCTAGTCTGCCAACATTTATTCCTTAGTACTTGTGGTTGCTCTTGTGACTGATACAGGACAGGCAAGTTAGCTCATGCTCTTCTCTAGAAAACACTGACAATGCTGAAAGCAAGGCTTTCTGCATTACAGAGGTCGTGCTTTATTTGGACCACAGGCCTGTGGCCCAATGCAATTGCAGTCCCATGCACCTAGAGATGTTTGGGCACTGATTAAACAGGAGGATTTATTTACGACTATGCAGGTAACATGTGTTTTTAATTTCCCAAGGATATAATTCTCTGTAGTTCCATATAACAGCAAGAAATGTAAACACAGTGGTTGATTAATCAATAAAATGTTTATGATCTTATTAATGCAAGCTCTACTACTCACTGATCTTACTGCATCTATACACAACATACTTTCCTCTGGTTTTTGGAGGGTTTTTTGTAGACAGTCTTATTTTCACTTGAAATCACAGTTGCACTTTCATATTTGCACATTATAGGTTTTGGAGTTGCATGTACAATACTATAGCTTAGATTTTTGTGTCAGGAAGCATTTTGTTTCATCTTTCCTGCTGCACAGTCTAAATTATGACTATAAAAAGCTGCCTTTCATGAAAAATTGCAGCTGGAGGTTAGGGTGTGCTAAAAATTGGTCCAAAACTGTTTCATGCAATTTTTGTATGAATAGGAATATCTTGAGCCTGATTTCTATCACTCTTTTAACATTGAAAGGAATTTTAAAATCATTTTGGCATGGTATACAATCATTTCTTAGGTATTTTCTGGAAACAAACCTAATGACTTCTATCTATAGCATTTGATACCTTTCTCTATTACTGCCATCATGAAAAAGTACAGAAACACAGAAATATTATTAGACATCAAAGGGGAAGTTGAATGTGGATAAAAGTAGCACTATATTGCAAGATTTGCATTTCATGTTGCAGCACCCACTAAAATGATAAATACCTCTCCACCCTTGACAAATATATAAAACATGACATCTTTAAATCTCAAAAGCTGAAAGTTAAAACTCTATACTAAATAGAACTCTGACAGCTTCATGCCTGTGTGTGAAGTTCACCTGGAGTCAGACATATCTAGTCATATTAAGGAGCCTGCAGAATCCAGGTTTAATGCAATCTAAATATGCAGTTAGGAGATGCTCTCATGTACATATTTATATATGCCAGATATATTTTATGTATAGAATCATAGAATCATAGAATTGTTTAATTGTAAAAGACCTCTAAGATCATCAAATCCAACCGTTAACCTGGCACTACCAAGCCTACCCCTAAACCATGACTCCAAGTGCAACATCCACATGTCTTTTAAATACTTCCAGAGATAGTGACTCAACCACTTCTCTGGGCAGCCTGTTCCAATGCTTGACAAAACTTTTGGTGGCAAAATTTTCCTAATATTCAACCTAAACCTCCCCTGGCACAGCTTCAGACCATTTCCACTTTTTCCTATTGCTTGTTACTTGGGAGAAAAATAACTGCATCTGCAAACTTGCTGAGGGTGCACTTGATCCACTCATCCAGGCTGTCAATAAAGATATTAAATAGGACTGGCCTCAGTACTGAGCCCTGGGGAACCCCTGTAATGTCCAGCTGCCAACTGGATTTAACTCACTCCATTCACCACCACTCCCTGGGCCTGGCCATCCAGCCAGTGTTTTTACCCATCAAACAGTGCACCTGTCCACATCATGGGAAGCCAGTTTCTCCACAAGAATGCTGTGGGAGATGGTGTCAAAGGCGCTACTGAAGTCCAAGTAGACAACATCCATAGCCTTTCCCTCATCCACGAAATGAGTCACCCTGCCAAGTGTGATCAGATTTGTCAAGCAGGACATGTTTTTCCTAAACCCATACTGGCTGGGCTGATCCCCTGTTTGTACTGCACATGCACTCAAGATGATCTGCTCCATGATGTTCTCCAGCACCAATGTCAGGCTGACAGGCCTGTAGTTCCCAGGATCCTCTTTCCAACCGTGCTTATAGAGGAGCTTCACATTTTCCAACTTTGTCACCTGGGACTTCACAGCTGATCAGGACTGCTGGTAAATGATTGAAAGTGTCTCAGTGAACACTTCCACCACCTCCGTCAGTACGCCTGGGTGAATTCCATCTGGCCCCATGGACTTGTGCAGGTCTAAGTGACATAGCAGGTCACTGGCCATTCCCTCATGGATTATAGGGGCTCCATTCTGCTCCCTGTCTCTGTCTTCCAGCTCATGGGCACCTTGAGAATTACTGGTCTTGTTGATAAAGACTGAGGCAAAGAAGGTATTAAGTACCTCAGCCTTTTCCTCATCCTTTGTCACTATGTTTCCTCCCACATCCAGCAAAGGATGGAGATTCTCCTTTTTGTTGTATATTCAAAAATACAAAAAATATTGTTGTATATACAAATATACAAAAAATACACTTTTTGTTGTATTTTACAGTAGTGGCCACATTAAGTTCTATCTGGGTTTTGACCTTTCTAATTTTCTCCCTGCATGACCTCACAACATCCTTGTGATACTCCTGAGCTGCCTATCCCTTCTTCTCACTGAGTTCCAGCCAAAGTTCTCTTGTCCTTCCTCAACACTGGCTTGTCTTTTGGCATATGGGGAGAGCCTGGTCCTCTACCTTTAAGATTTACATATATTTACATATATATATTTACAGATTTACAGATTTATATATACCTTTCAAACAAGACGACAAACATCAGGGAACTCCTAAAATGAGCTATGAGCAAAGACCAGAAAACGCAAAGTAAGGAGATTGTTAAACCCATCATGCTGAACCTTCCATTTGATTGTTTCCTTCCTTCATCCTAATTGCCTTTCTTTTCTATTTCCATCTTTATTCTCCATAGTCTTTTGTTATTCTTTTTCCTAATTATTTTAAAATTAAGTATTATTTTGTCTGAGAAAATTGTAAGAAATTACTCAGTACTCCATACTTACAAAGCAAAGAAATGAGAAAAGAGCCAACAGTTTCCCAAATGGTTTTGTTGCTTTTTTTGCTCTATAGTTGCACAACAAAAATAATGATCAAGCCTTATAAAGCATACTTACGAACACTTCTTCTGTTATACATGGCGGTTCTGAAAAACATAAATGAAATATCGTATGTTATCCAAGCAATACAGTCAAGCTGGTTCAACTGGGATTACAATACAGTAACAAAAAGTATTGAGGCATGACACCCTTTCCTGGATATTCTGAAATAAAATTACTTAGCCTGAGAAAATAAAATAAACTAAAAACATGCAGTAATGTTGACCCATGCATAAAAAGGTTAACTACCACAAGAATGATTTAAATATAATTCAAGTATTATTTAACTATGTTATTTCTCATACATGTCAGTTAACTTCTTGTCAGCTTTCCTCCGCAAAATTGATTACTAGACGCTAGGCAGTTTTAATGAAAACACAGATTTGTATGAGACTCTTGGAGCTTTGAACAGCAAATATTAAGAAATATCTGATAAAATTAAGAAGATACAATTGTGAATGTTCCCAGATACCCAATTCTCACTCATTCTAGGAGAATATCCTATCTTTTGTGATGCTATTTGAAGGCAGCAAAGCTCTCTCTGCAGAGCAATAAATTCTGATGGGCAAGTTTAAACCTGGCAGTTCAAAATCCCACTCTTTTCGTGTCACCATCTCTGTCTCTGTCTGTACCCCTGTCACGTCTCCGTGCCTGGGGCCGTCACCGTGGGGCCTGACCCCTCGTCTGACACGGATCCAGCCCATACCCTGCGTGGGAATTGCGACGTACCTGTGGTGAGCCTCTTCGAGTGCATCCTGGAGCTGCCGACCTCGGCCGCGGAGGTGAAACGCCGGAGGGCAGAGCAGCAGGAGCAGCTGCGGAACCGCCGGGCCTGGCCGGGCCTGCGGCCGCCGCGGGCAGCGCGGCGGGGTTGCCATGGCGCTGCGGGCGACACCGCCTCAGCCGCAGCCGAGCGCCCCGGGGGGGTGATCGTCCCAGAGGAGGTGCCTGAGAACCAGCAATGAATCTGAGGATACTTGTAGCCAGAAATGAAATTAAACTCTCCGAGAGTGTTAGTTTCTTCCTTGGTTCAAGGGGGTAACTACAGGATATAAGAAAAAGGCACATTTTTGGAGTGGTCAGCGAAAGCTGTGTGCAGAGAAGGAATTCAGGCTCCTGTTTGAGGATTTCAGTGGGCTTTAGGTGTTCCACAGCTGGGACCTGATAAGCATCCTACCTAGCAAGTATCTGATACTAGAACTGCATAAATCCTTCAGGGGGTTTTGGCATGAAAGTTCTTTCAAAGGTTCTCCACTGCTGCTTATTTCCAGACCAGCACTGGTTTTAGTAGCTTAGCAAAAATCCCGCTGGTATCAATTGTACAAGATGTCATGTATGCAAGCTACGTGAAGGGCTCCTTTGAGAGGCCTAATCCATCCGCTGTGTTCAGGAAGTGCCCAAAATGCACCAAGACCCTCCCATTCCCAGCGAAATCTGTCATTTGTGCCCCCTTTCACGGAATAGTACAGTATCTCCAGCCATACACCTCAGCTGTGAAAAAAAGTTCTATTTTAATTCATACATGACTTTGCTGGAATTCATGATTAAGTAAAAACTGCACGTGCTCAGGGACTGCAACTTAACGTCCAGGAATTGATGGCGGTTCAAAGTGAACAAGCAGCAAATCAAATATAATTGAGGCAGGGAAAATGGCTTCGTCTCCTAGAAACTAACGATATTTTGCATCCTCTACTCCAGATGTGTCTTCTCACTCCCGGGGATGCCTGCCCAAATACCACAGTCACTGCTCTATTTGCTAAATGTCAGAATGATACTTCTAGTTGTCTTCATGTAATATTGTGAGGTGTCTGATTGGCTTTTTAGGGTGGTTTGCGTTTGGTTTTTTTTTCATTTAAGGGGAGAAAAGTATTTCCAAAGACCTGAGACATTAGCTGAATAATGTCTTAGTCAAGATACACATTTCAGTCAAAAGTTTTGTATATATGTGAAGAGCATATACAAGAGAAGCAAAGAATAAAATATAAAAATTCAAACAAATGAGCAATGGACAATTTAAATATTATTACTCTGATGAAGTATTAACTATTTTTAATTTCTTTGTATGGGGATTCTATTCAATAAGCCATGAAAAACAGTAATTTAATGCTTAATGGCATACATTTAAACACACACTTTCCTAGTGCTATATATCAGGACATGTTCTATTGTCACTATGAAATATTTCAAATAGGTATACCTAATGTATATGTAAGAGAAATATGCTTTCCAAGATAGCCCATAAATGGTAAAGTTAAACCTTTGCAACAGGTAGAAGAATTGTACTCCATTGTATCACCTGGCTGGATTATCTCATAACCAAACTACTTAATATGATTTTAAGTTTAGGCTAATGTTGATTTCACTCATTTTCCCCAGCCCCTTTTTCTTTCTGATGTAGACACAAACATAGCCTTTGGTGTATAACTTTCTCCTAAACTTCCCTAGTTGCTTGTATTTTTTGAAGAAAAAACAATGGAAACATGACTGAATATGCCCTTTTTTTTTTATTAGAAGTGGGAGTTACAAGTCAGCTTAGATACAACTGAAGTCTGGAAAGGATTCAGTTAAAAAAATAAATAAATAAAGTAAATAAAATAAAATAAAATAAAATAAAATAAAATGGTCCTTTTTCTCTTCTTCTGTCAACTACTATATTTCAATATAAAACTCTTAGGTCTTTATGCTTTTTGTCATGTGCTTCAAAGATGGCATTTTGGATTAAGCTCATCAGGAAATACACACTGTACTCTCTCATGGAGAAGCTGTCAGCAGTTGTCATCGCTTTCTCATAATCTTACTTAACAACACACTTAGGTGAAATACTTTGTGTATATGCATTTCACTCCTGATTTTATATTGCCAGTTGAAAGTTCACCAGATGGAGAGGCTGAGATATAAAGATTAAGCTCATTTTCCTCATTTTTCAGATTTTTCTCTTTCCATGCTCTTCTTTTAATTTTTGTTATTATTTATCTTAGCAGAAGTACAGGCCCACAGAATGTTTCATAAATATAGCCAAAGCCAAGATCTATCCCAAAACACATCTGATCTTGTAGAAAAAAATGAATGGCTAGGTAGGAAGATGATACCAGTAAAATACTAGACAAAGAAAGGCAAAATAGTAAAAGTATGTCTTAAATTGTTAGATTTTTTAGAAAATGGTAATCTAGAAGAAGGCCTGCACAGGAAGAGATCTGCACAGGAAGACAAGGGAAAGGAAAACATAAATTGGTCCACTTCATACCTGCTGGCATCTTCCTCCCCTGCTCATTACTGAAGAGCCATTTGGAGAGGTGAACTTTCAGTCAAGATTTTAATCTGTTGTTTCCTCCGTAATTTTCTGAAATTCATACTTTCGGCCATTTATCAGGGAGAGTGTTTCAAAATATCACCCAGGCTAAACAGATCAAAACTGCTGAGACAACTTTTTGCACTCAAAGAACCACACGGATAAGCCGCGCCAGCTTCCTGGGTGAGCAAGTCTCCTTAGGACTTGTGCAAATAAAGATAAGACATAAAATGACTTGCTTTATTAAATCCAAATGCACACTTGCAGTTTTAGGTGTGAAACAGTGTTTGATTCCCAGCAGTGGTCACAATGAAATCATGAACTTTCTCATAATTAATTACTAATTCAGAAGGAAGCAAATACTACTAACAAAAATGCAGATACACCTCTGGAGAGATTCTCAAAGACAGCTATTGATTTTCAATAGAAGTGCCCAATCTCAAACATAAGTGGGCATTTCTTGTGATATCTTTAATACCTAAATATCTTTACAGAAATCCAACTTTAGTTAAATGGAACTACTGTTTCTTTTTCTGGATGATTACCACATAGATTTTAGCTTTGCATTTGAAAGCAATGATCTCATAAACTGAAAACAGGTGCTAGGAAACCTATTTAAATATTGACTGTAGAAGTGCAAAAATGGGAGTCAGACACTGAGAGGGAAGTACAAATTTATTGTCATACAGCTGGACCTGAAATGCCTTAAATTATTCCGTTGGCAAAATACCAGAGGCTGCCTCTTGTGATGGTACAGCCTGAGTTGAATCTGATAGTTCTAGTCTACTGGCACAGTTTAATGCAGTGCTGTGGCTGTCAGAAAAAGTTAATGCAAACACCTGAGGAAATTATTATATACAAGCAGTCAAAAGAATTCTAAAAGGAGGGAAAAAAAACTCTTCCCAAAGATAGCCTAGGTGAAGAGAAAAAAGCGTTTAAAAATAAAATAGAATGGGCCAATGGCATCCCAGCCTGTGTCAAAAATAATGTGGCCAGCAGGACCAGGGCAGTGGTTGTCCCCCTGTACTCAGCACTGGTGAGGCTGTGCCTTGAGTCCTGTGTCCAGGACCCTTCTCTACAGGAAAGACATGGAGGAGCTGGAGTGAGTCCAGAGAAGGCTGACAGAGCTGGTGAATGGTCTGGAGCACAAGTTTGATGAGCAGTGACTGAGGGAGCTGGGGGTGTTTAGCCTGGAGAAGAGGATGCTCACTCTCTACAACTACCTGAAAGGAGGTTGTAGCAAGGTAGGGATGGGGCTGTTCTCCTAGGTAGCAGGTAACAGGACAAAAGGAAATAGCATCAAGTTGTGCCAGAGGAGGTCTAGATTGGACATTAGGAAAAAAATCTTCACCAAAAGGATGTCAAGGACTGGAACAGGCTACACAGGGAAGTAGTTGAGTCACTACCCCTGAAGGTATTTAAGGGATGCGTAGAGTGGCACTTAGGGACGTGGTTTAATGGTGGAATTCGCAGTGCCAGGTTAAGGGTTGGAATGGATGATCTTAGAGGTCTTTTCCAACTTAAAGAATTTTATGATTCTAGAAATGGTAAAGGAAGAAATGTGATGTCTTTGGGCTATCAACATTAGAAACCTTTTACTACTGGAGGAGAGTTTCAGAGGGAAGTCCAAAGAGCTTGACCTCTACAGAAGTCTTTATTTGGATAGTCACTGGAGAATACTTTTTGATTTTCCATGCCACCAATGGCCCAAGGATTCCTATAACAATTTTATATTATCAGGACAATGTAGAGGTGTTTTATCAAATTTAAAGGCTTTAAGTAAGGTTTGATTCCCATTTGCCTAACACGGGTCTTGGTCTTAAGTAAGGGGGTTTTTTTAACATAAAGGGAATACAGAGACATACCTGGAAAGTGAACTGGAATTTGGAAGGACCACGTAGCAGTTTGTGATACACACTTGTACTCTTACTACCTCCTACCTGCCAGCTGCCTACTTCATAACTGCAGATATCTGATTCCTTCATAAATTTGTATTAGTGTCTTAAGGCATAACTCCTAGAACTTTAGGAGAATATCACGCTGCCTCTTCTGATTTTGGAAAGGAGCATTAAGACTTAGTGCAAAAACTATTCAGCAAGATTATGAAATATTTATTAGAAATAATAATACAAATAAATTATTTAGAAATAATTATTAGAAATAAGGTATTAAAGTCAGTCTGCAAAGACAATATGAAAATTAGGAAAGAACTACTAGAACCACAGTTATCAAACCACATACAAGATAAAAACATTGGCATAGTGTGTAAGTTTACATCAAGGCAGAGAGAGCTTTTTGCTAGCAGCCCTACTAGAGTTGGTGTGGCATATCTTTCCACTGAAACATAAGATGCAGATCAGAAGAAACTGTGACAGTTATTTCTCACAGAGATTTCACTGTCAGGGGATGTATCCAAAATTTTTCCACTGTGTACAAAAGTTTGAATTGTTATTGTCTATTATCTATTTTTCATGTAGATAAAGTGGAGTCACAGTTTGTAATACATTTGGCTCCGCTAATTTAAGCTTTCCAAGTTTGCCACCACTTCTTACTTTTAGCTGGGCAGGCAAGTA